ATTTTTATATATATGAAAAAAAAAAGCAAAAGTTTGAAGCCTTAAAATCCTGGATCATAATCTCAGCTGAAGTTCTGGACGACATACTCAGCAGCAGTACTTGAGTAAAAGTATTGATGTAACTGCTTTTGACATTTACTTAATCATATTTAGTTACTTTAACACAATTGTTTTATGTCCTAACATGAAATAATTCTTTTAAATTAACTAAATATGATTAAGTAAATGCTGAAAACTGATGCATTATTTTTTCCACAAGGTCAAAAATCTACTCAAGTTAAAGTATTAAAGTACTTTTGAAAAAACTTAGGTATAAAAAATATATATATATATTTTAAATATTGATAGATTTCTGTATAATTTTCTGAGTAATTTTAAAGAACGTGTAACTTTCAGAAATCCTCTGATGTATTGATGCATAGAACCACCTGATGCAGATTCTACACAGCCTGTAAAGAATCTAGCATAAAAATGCCACTGAAATAAGACCAGCTATTTTTATTATGATTTCCTATTTAAAAACAAACCAAAAATAAAACAGGAGGAGTGTGATTCTCCTCACACTTTCACCATGATATAGATGTTTAAGGTTGAAACTATCATAAAAAAAAAACAAAACTCAGATATGAGAACAAATCCTACTGATAACTTGGTCACATGGCAACAACTGATGCGTTAATAACATTTACAAACTACTAATAAAACTACAAACTACCTGTGAGTTTCTCACATCTGTGGAACGTCATGCAAATCTATAAAGCAGTTGTGTCCAAGTCCAGTCCAAAGGGCTGCTATGTTGCACTTTGAAGTCGCATTTCAAGAAAGAAAAGCAGCGACAGCGGATTACAAAGCTAAGCTGAGCCAAAAGGAACAAGTAACTAACAGTTTCGGAGAAATGTAGTGGAGTAGAAAGGTATAAGTACCCCATAAAAAAAAAATGACTTAAAGGCACAGTGGAGGGTTTTCGCCAATTTTTGAAAAGACCACTCTCCACTTTAAAAAACTATGCACATGCACAACCCTGTACCCGCTCCTGAGAGGGAACGCCTATTAAACGCGCGCGATAGTGTTCATGAGCTCCTTTCTCCACGTGCACGCTCTGTTTAAAAGTTGCTGTTTGCATCGCTCATACAAGCTTACTTTCCAAAAGAAGATTTTCCGTTTTTCCACTATGTCAGACTCACCACCAGTAAGTGAAAATGGGGACAAGCACGTAGGACGGCCTTACGTAAACATATCACCAGAATGATTGACAATTAGGAGGACCAATTATTGAGATGATCCACCCGGAAAAAGAACATCCTCCAAAATACCTTTAAGTAAAGTAAAGACACTCAAGAAAAGTACTTAAAGTCGTAGGGAAATCATATTTAAATTTCAAATCATTTTGGCTTAAACATGTACACTCACCGGCCACTTTATTAGGTACCCCATGCTAGTAACGGGTTGGACCCCCTTTTGCCTTCAGAACTGCCTCAATTCTTCGTGGCATAGATTCAACAAGGTGCTGGAAGCATTCCTCAGGGAGTTTGGTCCATATTGACATGATGGCATCACACAGTTGCCGCAGATTGTAGCCCATCTGCCTCAAAGTTCGACGTACTGTGCGTTCAGAGATGCTCTTCTGCCCACCTTGGTTGTAACGGGTGGTTATTTGAGTCACTGTTGCCCTTCTATCAGCTCGAACCAGTCTGGCCATTCTCCTCTGACCTCTGGCATCAACAAGGCATTTCCGCCCACAGATCTGCCGCTCACTGGATGTTTTTTCTTTTTCGGACCATTCTCTGTAAACCCTAGAGATGGTTGTGTGTGAAAATCCCAGTAGATCAGCAGTTTCTGAAATACTCAGACCAGCCCTTCTGGCACCAACAATCATGCCACGTTCAAAGTCACTCAAATCACCTTTCTTCCCCATACTGATGCTCGGTTTGAACTGCAGGAGATTGTCTTGACCATGTCTACATGCCTAAATGCCGCCATGTGATTGGCTGCTTAGAAATTAAGTGTTAACGAGCAGTTGGACAGGTGTACCTAATAAAGTGGCTGGTGAGTGTATATAAATGTGCTCAGACGATATTGAAATTTAGAAAATTTCTATTAAAAAAAAAAAAAAAATCGGGTCTTAAAAAGACCTGCATAAGATAATGTTTTTTTTCCGTTATCTTCTGCAGGCCAGTTAGTTATACGTCAGCCTGAGCACCTAAATTCGGCCAATCATATATGACCAGTCATCTGTCAATCAAATTTTTTCGCTCATGGCATCTTGATTCATATGTCACAGCTAATATACGCAACGGATGAAATAAGAAATCAGAATAATTTCCTTTCCCATTGAGTTCCGTCCCAGTGTTCACGAGGATGGACGTCTGTGTCTTCAGCAGGCGTAGAGCTAACAGAACTGGCAGCGTTGTGAGGCAAGGGCTCAAACATGTACGGCTGGATGCCTTCTACACCAAACCAAGCTTCTGCCGCCCTGGCGTCCTCTTCCACAACATCTTCCTCCCCGCTTTCCTCCTCTAGATAAAACATGTATGATGGAGGAGACTCATCCACGACCTCCGACACTAAACTCTCCTCCTCTTGCATGTTTCCTCTGTCCATAGCGTTCCTTGACAGTGTCGTTTCTAAGTCACCAATTTAGTGCTACTTGGTCCCAATGGAATTTCCCATTGGGAACCTACTAGCACTAAGTTGCTAACTGGTTAGCAAGATGCTTCAAACAAACCGGCTACAACCAAACTTGATTGCAAACCTTCCGCCACCACAATCCCGCCCCCTTGATAAACGACCAATCACATTCACTTTATTCACTCGTGTAAAGTCAGGCACCACTAGGGAGAATTCGGAAATGCAATGGTTGGAACAGCCGCTTCCCTACGACTTTAAGTACAGTAGCCAAATAAATGTACTTAGTTACTTTCTATAACAGCCCAGCTCCAACCCTCAAATCCACAGAAGAAAAGCTCCTCTGACAGTTGTTGTGTTTGAATGTAGCAGGTTATTTTTAATTCCTGCAGCGGGTGTAACTGCTCTGAATAAAGTGCTTGTAAACGTTCACAGGTTTCATTTACACCTTTTCTCTCCTGCCTGCAGCACAACAGAATTAGGAGAGCTTCAGTGAGAAACCTCTGTTCAACAACCAAGAGTTTATTCTGTTCCGGTTAGTCCAGATATATTTTATTTTTATATCTAATCAGCAGAACTCTAAGCAGCCGAGGAGACTTTCTAGGAGATCAGAGCAGATTGTTTTGGTTTCAGCGGTCAGAGTGACTTTACGTGTTTTCATCTGTAACCAATCTAAATGATTGTTTTTTTTATGAGGCGGTTTCAGGGTTTGTTGCTCCCTCCTTAATCTGCCACTCGTGGGGGAGCTGATCCATCTGAGGATCAGATTTAAGATGAAAGCGACATAGACTGCACCTCCTTAACCTTAAGTTCAACCATGATGGGAAAAAAGACCAAATATAAAAGATTCAAGTTCCAAATGATCTGAAGAACCTCCTTTCATTGCTTCCGAGTTCTTCAGGCTTAGAATGAGGAAATCAAGACATTGCAGAACCGTCATGAGGACCAAGATGAGCAGACGTTCGTCCTGGATGCTCCCTATGGTTGAGGGAACATCTGAGGCTCTAGCCGACAGGAGGTCACGCCATGAACGCTCGCTGACCTCCGCAGACCTGCAGGGAACCAAACTCTGCTTCTCTGCTCAGCCTGGACGTCCTCCTCCAGATCCCTCTATGTGTGCATGTGTTTCCCATTTAGGGTGACCTCATTCCTCACCCCGGGATGACATCATCCTGCTGAACACTTGATCGCTGCTGCTTTTCTGCACAATGACAGAAACAATCAAAGTGTTCTGATGTCTGGAAAATAAAGGGAAGTTTTATTGTAGCTCAGCAGCAGCAGAAAGTGGGTCACTGATGTCAGAGGGAGTCTTCCTGAAAACAATCAGGAACAGTTCCAGCGCTCATTAACTTGTTCAGCAGATTTCCTACAGTCTGAGTTCATGGCTGGATTAAAAAGCTGGGAGTAAATTCTGTAGGTCCAGCAGCCTAAAGATCAAACATCCATCAATATGTGTGAACAGACCTGGAAGGTCTCGCCTCTACAGAACAGCATCAGGATCATTTTCTGAATCTACATCTAGAAAACCTGAAAATGGATTTTCAGATGTTCACCACTGCTGACCTTCTTTGTCCTCCAGGGGCGGATTTAGAAGATTTGGGGCCCTAGGCAAAGACAGACATGGGGGCCCTCTGAATTGAGAAGACAACACATAAAACAGACCCATTATAGAGATACAGAAATTTAATAGAATAGACATACATTATCTGTTCTAGGTTTTGTCCCTCTCTTCTTGTCCCTTTTCTTCTTGTTTTCCTCTCTGTTTTGTACTCAGCTGACTTTTCATGCTGTCTTAAAAGGAATTAAAGATTATTTCAAGCACTAAGCTCACTTAGCTGATTGCTCCTTCCTGTGTTTCCAAAAAGGCCAAAGTAAATAACCCAGTCCTTCTTTTCACTGTAGACAAGCCATGATCTGCTTATCTGTTCTCCATTTTTCATTTGGATGAAATAATAGCTGCATGAATCATGACAGCAGACAAGATAGAGGAGAGCAGGAGGCGGGGTTACCAATCTACTCGCTCTGGAGAGCAGAGTTCGCTGCTTTTAGATGTTGTCGCCAAAGTCTCCAGTAGCAGAAAAAAGTCTCTAGATTTGGCGCTAGGAGCTTTTTAGAAATCAAAGGGCTAGAGGGGTCTGAAAAGTCGCTAAATATAGCGACAAACGCGCTAAGTTGGCAACACCATTAATATTATAAGCGTTCTGATGGCATTTTTGCAAAAGGATTATAATCAAAAACATAATTAATGTGCACAAATAAGTAATAGTTGTATTAACTGTAGATGTAAACAGAGTTTTATGGGGCCCCCAGGAACTTGGGGCTCTAGGCAGCTGCCTAGTATTGCCTAATGGTAAATCCCCCCTGCTGTCCTCTAGACTCCAAGGCCATCGTGGACGGGAACCTGAAGCTGATCCTGGGTCTGATCTGGACCCTGATCCTTCACTACTCCATCTCCATGCCCATGTGGGAGGATGAGGATGATGAAGATGCCAAGAAATTGACCCCCAAACAGCGCCTGCTGGGCTGGATCCAGAACAAGGTTCCCCAGCTACCCATCACCAACTTCCACCGAGACTGGAGGGATGGAAAAGCACTGGGAGCACTGGTGGACAACTGCGCCCCTGGTAGGACCTCTGGACCAACAAGAACACAGATGTTGATGTTTTTTCTCAGGAACAGACCACCTCAGAGCGGAACGTGAAGCTGTTGTCCTATGTCTGTGTTTCTGCCTCCAGGTCTCTGTCCAGACTGGGAAACCTGGGATCCCAGTCAGCCGGTGGAGAACGCCCGGGAGGCCATGCAGCAGGCAGACGACTGGCTGGGAGTCCCACAGGTACCGCTGCTGAGACCCTGAAAGTTCCGGCTGCAGCATTTATTTCAGCCATTAAAGTGAAAATATTTTTTATTCTAAAACAGCAGATGTAATTTTAGTCAGGATGTGTATGAGCGTCGTAGGATTAATACCAATCCAGACATTCCTACAGTTTTGACACAAACCTTAACCCTTAGTGTTAGTGAGCATGCTCTGTAACCAGGAGCTGGTTCTTCTATACAGTAGTTCTACGGGAACGACTTTGTGGTTCTATTTGACTTCCCTCCTGTTGATCTTCATTGGAGTTGGGTTTCTCTGTGCAGCTGGTAGATTTTCTTCACTTTAAATTAATTAAATTCAGTTTATTTCTATAGCACCAATTCACAACAAGTCATCTCAAGGCACTTTATAGTTCACCAGATCATCCAGTCAGATTGATTCACAGTTTTCTATCTAAGGAAAACCAGTTGATTGCTTCGACTCATTGACTCATAGGCAATCCCTCATTCTAAAGGGCTGGATATCCTCCAGTCGCAGTAAGCTTGTTGCAGATATTTTTGATTTATGCCCTATTTTGAAGCGTGGTTCCACGCTATGTTATTCCACGCCACAACGCAAGAGGGACAATAACAATCTACCTGTGGGTCTAGATACGCCCAAGGCGGTGAGGAAGTGGGGGCGAATTTGTGCGACAATGGAGGGACATGAGAGTGAAAAAAGCGGGGATCCAGGTAGAAAAAGGGTCCCAGCGTTCTCGCGCACCTCGTTCTTCTAGCTGGACCATCTTCACGATTCGTTTTCCACAATGGCAGTCATATAAACAAAACAAGCTGGTCAGGTACCAAACAGAAAATACATATAGTGTAGAGCGGATGTAGATTTGACCAATCAGAGGCCTCCTGTCTGCAGTCACCTACTATTTTGGAGAGGTGCAACAAAAGGGGGCACATTAGCGTTAACTGCAAAACACACGCACATGATCCGGTTTCTGAGTATAAATCAGCCTTAAGCATGCTTGTAGCGACGGTGGAGAGGAAAAACTCTCTTTTAACAGGAAGACACCTCAAGCAGAACCAGGCTCAGTGCGAGTGACCATCTGCTGAGGCTGACTGGGATTCAAGGAGACAGAAGCAGAGATACAAAATGAACTTGTCAACAAGCTCCACAAGCGACCCCATCAAGAAAACACACAGCCAGGCAGACGAGCTCCGAGCCAACTCCCATGTCAGAGGATGGAGAGAGCGCATCCAGTTAGTCACAGTCAGAGAAACAGGAGTAGATTAAAAAACAGGCTGAGCTCAAACATCTATAAACTAAGGAGAGGTTGATGGCAGCAGCACAGCTGATAATTCTCTTCAGGATGGAGTGACATCCATTCACAGACTTTAACAGCTCAGGATCTTCTGCAGTCTGTGCTATCGCTCGGTCACACCTCTGCGATGTCAAACCTGAAATGCTGTCCATGTTTTCTTCTTCTTCAGGTGATTGCTCCAGAGGAGATCGTTGACCCAAACGTGGACGAGCACTCTGTCATGACATACCTGTCCCAGTTCCCTAAAGCCAAGCTGAAGCCCGGAGCGCCGCTAAGAGCAAAGACACTGCATCCAAAGAGGGCTAAAGCTTATGGTCCAGGTATGGAAACCTACCAGAACTGACGGGAAATTTAACTTTGAGTTAAAGTTTAAAATCAAACCAGCTTCTGGAGGTTTTTCTCTTCATGATGAAATATTTCAGCAAACACTCAGAAAAATACTTCAGTAAAAACCTTTAGTCCAAAATGAAATACTCTATGTTGATGCCATCCATGATCCTAGTAGAAAATTGAGGCATGATTGTTCATAAAGCACCATAGATATAAGAATCAGAAAAGACTTTAAATTAACAGGAACCTCTCAGCTTTGCTTAAATTGAGAGCTTAGTATGTCGACAACTTCAAAAGGTTTCCTAAGAATAGACTTTAATCACCTGGAATCATCAATCAGTGATTAAAGAGATGCTCATCAGTCAGATTATTTGGTCCAAATGGTTTCAGTCTTTGTTTGAAGAAGCCAACTGTTTCTGAACATCTCAGGATTTGAGACAGCTTGCATTGAGCCCAAACACTGTCTCACCTGGTTTGGTTCTGAAGGTCAGTAATGATGCATTATGTTCGTTCCCAGCACCCACAAGGTTGTTCAGATTTAGCAGTACGCATTTTGTGGGAGTAATTTGTGTAAGATTCATACCAAAACCGTGTCTCACATGTTTTATTGTTTTCCTGTCAGGTATTGAAGCACGAGGCAACACAGTTCTGAAACCAGCAGAGTTCCTGGTGGAGACGGTGGAGGCTGGAATGGGAGAGGTCCTGGTTTATGTGGAGGATCCGGAGGGACACACAGAAGAAGTTAGAAAAGCCTCACAGTCAGAATTTTTTACTGAAGTAGAAGTGATCCTATGTTGGAATTCATGCTTTTTTGGCTTTGGTTCTGTCAGGCCCGAGTGATCCCCAACAATGACAAGAACCGAACCTATTCTGTGGTGTACCTGCCCAAGGTGGAGGGTCTTCATAAGGTAAAAAAGTTCATATTGTACCCTACAAAGAGGTAATATCTCATTTATAAAATAAAATGAAATTAAATACAATTTACAAAGATGAGATTTAGTGGTTAAAAGAGCAGAGTCACATACAGTTAGTACAAACGAAACACAAAAAACATGTATTCAAGGTAAAATACAATGAGTCAAGCATTCGTCCTCATAGTGTTGACGTAGTCCTTTAGCCTAAAAACAATATCTGCCCCTGGCATGATGGGAAGACTTAAAGGGGAACACCGTTTTTTTTACATTGGGCCCTTAATTTTACGTTATTACCTCATGTTCTACTCCCCCATATGAGTTTTATGTCATTTGAAGTTATCCAAGTAACGTCTTCCTTTGGGCAATTAGTCGAAGGCACAAACTAAGCTAACCACGGATGTCTGGGGGACAGTGATTCTCCTAGATGTTATGAATGCTGGCGTACCATAAAGAATAAATTCTGAACAGTTTAGTTTGTGTCTTCAAGTCGTTGCCCATAGGAAGACGTTACTTGGATATAACCTAACGGAATATCTTCAGAACGGCTCCAAATGACACAAAACTAATATGGGTGAATAGAACATGATGGAATAACGTAAAATCAAGGGCCCAATATAAAAAAAAAACAGTGTTCCCCTTTAACTATTGTTTGGTGGTTTATATTAGCAAACTGGAAACTTGAATGATTGGTGAATATAACTCATAATATACTGTACAAACCTCTTGCATTGATATTACTAGCCCTTCAGTTTTCTGTTTCATTGCTAATTTCACAAACTTACGTCTATAGATCTTTGGTTTACCCATTGGATACATACGCAACATTGTACCTGCGGTCATGTGGTCTGGCTATAGTAAATATACTCAAAAGACTTTATTTTCTAATCGTTTTCAAAGATATATTACCAACAAAGGGGAATGTTAGTAAATGTGGTCAACCACACTCTAAAATTTTAGCTCTTAGATAATAGTTGCTCAGATTCAGGTAACTAAATCTAATTGGTCAAACTGGAGCAGGGGTGTTCAAGTCCAGTCCTCAAGACCTACTATCCGGCAACTTTCTAATGCACCCAATTTTTAACACATCTGAATCAAATGAGTGGCTCATTACCATACCTATACTCAGCTCGGGGGACTGAGACTTTAGATCCAGGTGGTTTAGAGAAGATAATAATCGAAAAGTTACAGGATGGTAGCTCTTAGGACTGGACTTGAGCACCACTGAACTAGAGTAACTATTTCCACTATGTTGTATGCTTCATTGCAAGAATAACATTTCAACTCTTATCTTGAGGTACTTTAAGGTAATAAAGATAAGTCTAAAGATCTTCTTATTTCCTCCTTCTACAAGGTCAAAGTGCTGTTTGCCGGGCAGGACATTGACAGAAGCCCCTTCATGGTGAATGTTTCGAAAGCCATGGGGGACCCCACCAGGGTTCAGGCCCGAGGGCCAGGTCTGCAGCCGATGGGAAACGTAGCCAATAAACCTACCTATTTTGACATTTATACAGCAGGTAACTGCCCAGTCATGTATCCTGATGTGGATGTGGAGAACATCTTCCCTGTCCTCTCTTCTGGTGTTGTTCTATAAATGATTGTGTTCTTTTTCCAGTGCTAAAAAGTCTGTTTTTCTGTCCACTAGGGGCAGGTTCTGGGGACGTAGGTGTTATCATTGTAGACTCAAACAGCCGGAGGGACACAGTGGAGATTGTCTTGGAGAACAGAGGAGACAGTATATTCCGGTGTACCTATGTGCCTGTCCTGGAAGGCCTTCATACCATCTATGTGACCTTTGCTGGGCAACAGATTCCCAGAAGTCCTTTCACTGTCAACATCTCCGAAGGTTCGTTTTGACCTATTATTTCTTCCTCAAAACATAAAATTGTCCTTTTCTGATTGGGTTGTCAGAACCTTCTAAAATAGCTTTATTAGCATTTGAATATTCTTGTTTACCCCCAGTTTATCGTTTAATTTAGTAAAACTAACCTTTCTGTCTGTCTTTGTCGGGGACTGGACAGGTCCGTACTTTCTTGATGTCAGAAGCAGAACTGGGAGTTGAAAAACTGTACGTTTGGTTTAGGTGTGGGTCTTAGATCATCTGTCTTTTCTTCTGGTCTAGTTCCAGAGGCAAAGGTGTCGAGGAGGTTGGTAAATGGGCTCTGATGTATGTTGGCTGAGATACGTTCTCTTAGTTTGAGACTTCGCAGACAACTTTCTGTCCAGACTTTTTAATCCTTGAATTGTATTTTTTGTATTTGTATTTTCTGTTGCTGTTGCTTAATAAAAGTATGTTTTAAGATCTTTTGAGGTGAGAGCATTATACTTTTAAGCATCACTATATGGTCCATTTAAAAGAAAAATCCGATGCTAATGGGAGCCATAGCTAACATTAGTCCGTCTGCAGCAGCATAGCCGTGTGTGAAGCACCGCTGGCTCTGATTGCGATTTTTTTGTTTTATTTGGCAAAATATTAATTTGATTTGTGTTTGTCTGACTGTGTTGATTATTATTCCCCCCAAAAATGAAAAAAGTAAGAATCTATAATTATCTAGAGACTATTAATAACAGGAGGTGAAATGCAGCTCTAGACGAGGTGAGCGTGTGGTGATGTCACAAATATGCTTCTGTTCCTATTGACCCATATTTATGCTGAGTGCTCCCGTTCTCCCAGAGTACAAACTTTCCTGTGTTCCTCTCAAGAACAAACTTGGCGAGGACACAAGTCCGTACTTGCGTTCTTGTGAATTGAGAAACGGCCATTAGCTGTGAATTCACCACTGATTCTACCAGTTTTACTTGTGCGTTCCATTTTGATGGTACTGCCACCTATAGGTTTGGAGGTTCCTGTCCTTATTCTGGCTATTATTCCCTCCTTCAGTTTCACAGAACGCCCCTCCCCCTGACTCTCCAGTGCAGATTGTACCACAGTCCATACGTACCCCACCCTCAGAAAAGACCAGAAGAGCCCCCCCACCAACACCGCCAAAATCCAGGCGACCAAGTTAGTACAGAGCTTGGGATGATGGGGGTGTGACTGGATTCTGCCTGCGCTCGCCTCACCTGTTCCTTTCAGTCTGAGCTCCGAACCTCTCTGCCTCGGCCCAATGGGCGGTTCTCCACAGCTTTCACCGCATGTGCCGGCACTGCTTCATCCTGAGCTGCCTCTTCTTTTTCTACAGAAACAGAGTGAATGTGGATGTTTGGAGCCCCCCATGGGCGAACGGCTGGTTTAGCTTTTAACATCATTAATGTCTTTTATCTACCTCTGCAGGAAATAATGATACAGATTCTGGACAAAATCTCAAGGTTAGATCATTATCTTAGTTGATAACCAGCACTGTAAACCGTAACCTAGCCTGGATTAGTTAAACCTGCTTCACAGTTCAGATCAATGGTTCAATTCAATTCGGTTTATTTGGCACCAATTCACAACACATGTAATCTCAAGGCACTTTACAGTTCAGCAGCTCATACTCATACTCAAATTGATTCAAAGTTTTCTATCTAACAAAAAACAGTTGATTGCATCGACTCATTGACTCAAATGCAATCCCTTACACTAAGCATACTTGTAGTGACAGTGGAGAGGAAAAACTCCCTTTTAACAGGAAGATACCTCCAGCAGAACCAGGCTCAGTGTGAGCGGCCATCTGCCGAGGCCAACTGGGATCCAAGGAGACAGAAGCAGAGATACAAAAAACAACACCCACATTCAACCCATCCAGGAAACACACAGCCAGGCAGACTAGCTCCAAGCCAGCTCCAATGTCAGAGGATGAAGAGAGCACATCCAGTTAGTCACAGTCAGAGAAACAGGACTACACTGAAAAACAGGCCGATCTCCATCATCTGTAAACAAAGGTGTTGATGGCAGCAGCACAGCTGATATTTTTCTCCAGGATGGAGTCACAGCCAAACAGGAACAGACGAGGTGAAGCTACAAAGGAAAAAAGCAGAGAGAGCAGAACATTAGAGAACTAACAGAATCTGCAGAGTGGGGGAATAGAGATAGAAGGAAGCAGAATGATGAAATGGGGGTCCCTGTGTCCTCCAGCAGTATAAGCATAGCAGCATAACTATAGAGATAGCTCAGGGTAACCTGAGCCACTCTAACTAGAAGCTTTATTAAAAAGGAAAGTTTTAAGCCTAGCCTTAAAAGTAGACAGGGTGTCTGCCTCACGGACTAAAACTGGTAGTTTGTTCCACAGGAGAGGAGCCTGATAACTAAAAGATCTGCCTCCCATTCCATTTTTAGAAATTCTAGGAACCACTATGAGACTCCACTTTGGTTCTTTGTATTCTTTTGATATTGAGACATCATTGTTTTTATAGTACATCCGATTCATTATCATATGTAAAATAACAAAGGTGAAAATATCCATATCTACGTATAAAGAATATTTAGATGCTATTGTAATGTCAGATTGTTTCTGTGAATTAAATGTAATCCAGGCGAGCTTAGTTTAGAATCTGTTTCAACATCTGAAGACGGCAGCAGTTCTCAGGTTATCATGAAGCATCTGATACCTAAAGCTGCTCAGAGCAGGGGAATGGGACATCATAATGAAATCATGGTAAACCTTCACTCAGCCACACAGCTTGGATGTTGGTTTGAGTTCCTAATGAATCAGTTCCTTAAAACATGACAAATGGTTCTGTTTATCGGACCAGCTTTGTCATTTCATTATGTCTGATTAACCTTCATTAAAAGCAGAAGAATAACAGATTAAAACTGGCTTCATTCTTCTTTGGAGAATCTTCATTCACCATCGGCATCATCATCCTCATCAAGCAGCCGATTCTCTCCTCACCCCTGCATTGCTAATTCTTTTTTCTGCAGCTAACTCTAATTTTAAGCATTTCAATCTAAATGCATCTTGCTGAGACCTGTCATTTCTAACATTTCAGATCATTTCCAGAACCTTCACATCAAAACCCTTTGGTCCCATGTTGTCCTCGCTGTTTCAGCTTCATTAAACTGCTGCCTCTATCAGCAGCTCACTAACTGAAGCTCCTGCAGCTCTAAACGTCTCAAATGAAATGTTGTTTTGGTTGTAAAAACAGTTAACTGGATGGAGTTGTTAAGGTTGTATTCTAACCAGCAACCTGTTTCCCTGTGGTTCTGACAGCCTGCAACCCGAATGCCTGCAGAGCCTCGGGTCGAGGTCTGCAGCAGAAGGGCCTGAGGGTGAAGGAAGTGGCCGATTTCAAAGTGTATACTAAAGGAGGCGGCAGCGGGGAGCTCAAAGTCAGCGTGAAGGGTCCCAGTAAGACACCAGGAATCCAACATGCAAAAAAAAAAAAAAACTCATCACATACAAATTACATTACATTAATTTGAGTTACAATTATTTTTTCATGATGTCTTTTAAATTATTGAATAATTATGTTTTTTTTTTTCTTGGGTTTTTTTCCCACATTTTTTTGTTTTTTAAAAGGATACTGTATATTGAACCTCATTCAAACAGTTTCAAACGTTTTAAAAGGGATTTCACAAATTTAGCATTTCTCTAAATGCTAATTTACAAGAAAAATTCTGCAAAAAACATATATGCATTCTCAAAAAAAATTGCTGAACTTGACATATAAATAAAACTATATTTATATATGTTGCTTTTTTGTATTTCTTTTCAGGATGGCAAACATCATCATAGACTGATAAAAGCTGTTAATAACACACATTTTGAACGCATCCGTCTTTGTTCTCTTTGGTTTAATCCCAGTTAATCCAAGCTGGACTGTCAGATTTTTTCAGCATTCCTTGAAAGCAGTTTATCACGAAAGAGCTTCACTGATTCGGATTGTGTTTGTTTCTTCCCCAGAGGGCCGTGAGGAACCTGTGAAGGTGCTGGAGATGGAAAACGGCATTTATGAGTGTAATTATTACCCAATCATGACAGGGAAGTACATCATAATTATCACATGGGGAGGACACAGCATTCCCCGCAGGTGAGATTTTTACACTCTACATTGTTCTTATAAATGGATGCCAGTAAAGGAAGGTCTGGCTGTTGTTGTCTTTTTCAGGGTATTGAATATGTTGTAATGTCATGTACTGAACTGTAACTATTTTACAATGGTTCCTCTTCCATTTTACAATAGTCCTCCAGCGAGGATTCAAACCTTTTTTTTGCCTTGTCTGTTTGTGCATCTTCAGCCCATTTGAGGTACATGTAAGTGAGGAGGCGGGACCTCAGAAGGTGAGGGCCTGGGGTCCAGGTCTGGAGACCGGTATGGTGGGGAAGAGCGCAGACTTCGTGGTGGAGGCAATCGGCACAGAAGTGGGAACTCTCGGTACGTTACATTTCAGACCAGTTGCATTTAAAGTATTGGTGGGCATAGATTATTTTTTAATCTAGATTAATCTCACTGTAATCCTGGAATTAATCTTGTTTTATACCGGCTCATTTGAATTCTACCAAAGGGCTTCATGAATCAGAATCAGTCTCAGAATTCAGAGAATCTCAGTTTAATCAAGTCGGAGCTTTTCACACCAAAATCTGTCTGGGTAAGGATTTCAAAGACGTTTAATGTTATTAAGTTATTTGGGCTGGAAGTACTTCTTCTTCCTAGCTCTGAAACCATTTTAAAACTCACCTTAAACTGCTCCATTTGACACTTGAACCATCAGTTTAGTTTAATTGATCATCTTTTAAATTCTATAACCAAGCACTCCTGCAAACTGTAATAAATAAATTTTATTTCCACTTCTTAGAAAAACTCAAAGCTGCCAAGTAAATACTTATTAAGGTAGTATCCCTTTTGCTCTGGATCGTTGAAGTGGTGGCCTAGTGTTTACATCCACAAGAGACTGCAAAGTTTACTGGTTTGAAACCCAGACTGTCACTCCAAGTCTCTGAGCAAGACCCTCAGTGTCACAGTGGTCCCCCAGTGGCACCCAGTGAGGGAGAACAATCCAACCTAAGGGATGGGGTAAATGCAGAGGACAGTTTCCTCCCTGTTGGACTATGAAGGATTATTTTCCTTCCTTATGAGACTCTGCAGTCATGGAGCCACTATGCTCTAAGTTCTTACCAGTGAGGTTTGTCCTGCTGCTCTTCGATCCCAAAGCTGTGCTCCTGCACCCCACCACTATAAACACCACTACCTAACTGCACCCTAAGATGGCATCAAGACATGTGCAACCACCAGAAACACCATAGAAGCACCATACGTAGCCTAGCCATGAACCAGACATGCCTAATTCTTCATTACTAATGCAGGCATCATAGATACAAAGCTATGGCTTCCCCTATTCACCAAGGACTGAGGTAGACCACTCCAAACACTCTGTGGTCTACTCTGCGCTCTTGGGGAGCCTACTGTATCTTTTAGAAACTTGGAATACCTTTCAGAGATCCTGCATTATCATCCATGTTCTGGCTATGTTTTCCTGTTTACATCAAGTGTGATGAGGGTGAGGACTGTTAAAAAGCTGCAATGATCCCCTCAGATTCTTTCTAGCCTAATGATGCAATGGTTGCATTGGTTTGATAAAATGAATAGGCTTGGTGTTCTTAAAGGAAGAGTACACCCAAAACATGATTAGCCTTCATTTTCTACTCACCCTCATGCTGAACAACACTCTGGAGTACTTTTTTGATATCTCAAATGCATCTGGAGATCTGGGAGGCTTCTTGCTGTCTGCTGACATTCAGATAATGGAGGTCCATAGCGCCCGAGGCAGAAAGGTCCATAAAAGTCCACAAAAAACGTGTCAATATTCCTCCATACTGCTCGTCCAATGTATTCCAAGTGTCCTGAGTGGGTAGCATCCAGAATTTACTCGAAACAAAGTCATTTAGAATGTTTTTAGAGCATAAACAGTAGTGTATAGGATTTCCTGAAAGCGTGTTCACAACGCTACGGAAACCGCGGCAGACCAAACCAGATGAAAGTGCGCATTCAGCTCGGCAAAGAACTCATGCTCTTCCTCAACACTGAAGTCCTCAGACATTTTACTTTCGTTGTTTCTTTCTTTGCACAGGTAAACAGCACATTTCTTCTTCTACGCTTGCATTATCGGCAGAGCAGACGCTGAATGCGCACTTTCATCTGGTTTGGTCTGCCGCGGTTTCCGTAGACTCGTGAACGCGCTTTTAGGAAATCCTATACACTACTGTTTATGCTCTAAAAACATTCTAAATGACTTTGTCTCGAGTAAATTATGGACGCTACCCACTCAGGACACTTGGAATGCATTGGACGAGCAGTATGGAGGAATATTGGCTCGTTTTTTGTGGACTTTTATGGACCTTTCTGCCTCGGGCGCCATAGACATCCATTATTTGAATGTCAGCAGACAGCAAGAAGCCTCCCAGATCTCCAGATGCATTTGAGATATCAAAAAAGTACTCCAGAGTGTTGTTCAGCATGGGGGTGAGTAGAAAATGAAGGCTAATCATGTTTTGGGTGTACTATTCCTTTAACAGTCTTCTGCAGTATAATGTCGTCAGCGTAGAGTGATAGCTGAAATCTCTGGAGCTGGAGCAACCGTCATAAAGGACATGCATTATGAAACTCTACAAATGCAGACCTCTGCTGAACTGCCATAGACCAAATTTCAGGCTCTTTTGTTATCTGTGTGCAGGTTTCTCCATCGAGGGGCCCTCTCAGGCTAAAATCGAGTGTGACGATAAAGGTGACGGATCCTGTGATGTTCGATACTGGCCCACTGAACCAGGAGACTATGCCGTCCATGTCATATGTGATGATGAGGACATTAAGGACAGTCCCTTCATGGCCCACATCCTCCCTGGAGCCATTGATTTGTTTCCTGAGAAGGTCTGGGCAGAACATTTCTGGGTTTCTGAGGTATTTGACTCTAAAACAGGTTGTATAGTGGAGTTTTCTCTCTGTTCATTAGGTGAAATGTTTCGGTCCTGGTCTGGAGCCTCTTGGTTGTATTGTCAACAAACCAGCTGACTTTACCATTGATACGAGTGAAGCTGGCAGAGGAGAGCTGAGGCTCTACGCTCAGGTGGGAACTAAAAGTTTCCTTAAGTTTTGATGAAGCTTTCCTTTACTGCTGTAGTGGAGAAACAGTAAATTGTTGGGTTTCTCACCAGGATGCAGACGGTTTCCCCATCGACATCCAAATCACAGATAACGGAGACTGCACCTACTTTTGTGTCTACATTCCTACCAAACCCATCAAACACACCATCATCATCACCTGGGGCGAAGTTAATGTTCCCAACAGCCCCTTTAGGGTAAGAAATCCTTCAATAAAAGTTTTCAGTTAGTTGTTTGGAACATAAAGCAGTTCTAAAGCCCCATTTAAGCTCAAATCAAGCAGGAATGTTTCCCTTTAGTCTGTGATAAATGTTTGAATGTTTCCAGTCTAAATGATTGTTTGCATGTTGCTGATTAGGTGATAATCGGAGAGGGCAGCCATCCAGAGAACGTGAAGGTCTACGGTCCAGGTGTGGAGAAGACAGGCCTGAAGGCCAATGAGCCAACATACTTCACTGTGGACTGCAGTGAGGCTGGACAAGGTGAGGCATGGTCCAAATCCCACACAGTTCATGTCCTTTCCCCTGCTTCACCTCTTGCCTTCAACATGTGCGGAACATTATGCTGCCTGGCTGCATTATCTGCAAATCTTATCCAGGGAACACAGATTTTCCAGGAAATTTCAATTACCCTCATTGATCCAAGATGTGTAGAAGAAAATGTTTTGGTGTGTCGGATCTCTGCCAATTAAAATCCTGTGTTTCTGAGAGTCTAATCTTTGAGTGTGGTCTGCATTTCTTTTCTCTCTTCTTAATTAAGCAATGTGGACATTTTCTACAAATTGAAAACACATTAACCACAAGATGTTCTGATTTATCAGGAATAGAACCGCTGATTATGTGTGGACCTGAATGGTCAAAACAATCTCTTTTCCTGTCAGGTGATGTCAGCATCGGGATCAAGTGTGCTCCTGGTGTGGTCGGACCGGCAGAGGCAGACATTGACTTCGACATTATCAAGAATGACAATGACACGTTCACAGTGAAGTACATGCCTCCGGGTCCTGGTCAATACACCATCATGGTGCTGTTCGCTGATCAGGTGAGAACAGCAGCAACTAAATAGCCTCTAAATAAATGTTGTGTTGAGGGTTTAACCATCAAACCTCTTCAATGAATGTTGAACACAGGAAATTCCCGTCAGTCCATTCAGAATCAAGGTGGATCCCTCTCATGATGCAGCCAAGGTCAGAGCAGAGGGCCCTGGACTCAACAGGACTGGTGAGTCTGTTTCATATGAACCATTTCTCCTCGTCCACGCTCTGTTTAAAAGTTGCTGTTCTCATAGTTCATACAAGCTTACTGTGTCCGAACGTCCGCCCTAACCCCTAAATCCCTAAATCACTATATAGAGAGGCGCCTATATGGTGGACTTTATAGCGAACTCAGTTAACTTACCATTCAGACAGATGATCACTGCTTTTTTCTCCGTTGCTCATGTAACTCCTTCTTACCTGCGCGATGCCTGCCAGGCCGCTGTGACAGTAAATCCCATAATGCTTTGCTTGGTGAGGTCTTCGTGCAAAGCATTCTGGGATATATCTGCCTCTTCTTTAGGCTTTTCTTCTCATACACTTCGTAGACACTTTTTCTCTTATGACCCTTGACCATTTTTTAGAGAACGGCGGTGAGAAATGTGAGCTTCAATGACTGTCTGAAACCGTAGCTCACCACAGATAAACGGCTGAAAGTGCGCATGCGCATAAAATGATAGCTAACGGAACATAGCATGTAGGATGGCCTTACGTAAACATATCGCCAGAATGATTGACAATTAGGAGGACCACTTCGGACAATAAGGAACATCCACCCGGAAGTAAAAGACCGTCCTCTATACCTTTAACTCCTCAGACATTTATTTTTTAAGCAGGAAGTTACTCCACATAACCGCTCTTTGGGAACCTCTCAAGGAATTATAAAGATACATAAAGCAACAGGCAGGAGGACCCATTTCTTTCCTCAATCAGGCCTAAATCTCAGTTAGTAATACTCCATGTTGTCTCACCTGGGCAGGTGTGGAGGTTGGAAAGCCCACACACTTCACCATTTACACCAAAGGGGCCGGTAAAGCCAAACCAGAGGTCCATTTTATTGGAGCAGCTAAAGGCGAAGCTGTTCGTGACTTTGAGATTATCGACAACCATGACTACTCATACACGATCCGCTACACCGCAGTGCAGCAGGTAACTCCTACCCCAAGAAGATCAGGGTTGTGTTTATTCTGACTGATACACTCCAGATAACTGCAGCGTGTGTGTCTCTCAGGGGAACATGTCCATCACTGTTTGCCACGGAGGAGACCCCATCCCTAGAAGTCCATTCAGCATCATCGTGGCCCCCCCTCTGGACCTCAGCAAGGTTAAAGTCCAGGGACTCAACAACAGTAAGTCAAATTATTTCCTCTGACTACCGATATCTCAGATAATAGACTTTAAAATCCTTATCTTAGTCCAGAAATCACTGAAGGACAGAGGTCCGAAATACATTACAGACTGGTTGGCACTGGATAAATGGCCAGCCTGCCTACCTACTTACCTACCTACCTACCTACCTACCTACCTACCTACCTACCTACCTACCTACCTACCTACCTACCAGTGACGTGCGGTGAGGTTCATAGCTGGTGAGGCACTGACGTCATCAGAATCAGATTTGCAAATAGATGCATAGATTGACAGCAGTTTACAGGTTATGTTTCACTTCTGCATCCTTACACATACAAACTGTAGCTCACAAAACACACATTTCCTTAAAAAACAAAACAAAATAAATGTTATTACTGTCTTACCTTTACTTATAAATGAATAGAAGTCCTCCTTATCTTCCTTCAGTTTTAAAAGTCTCTCTGTCTCAATGGAGATCACTGCCAGGGAAGAAAGCCTTCCTTGATCCGTCCTGTTCCTGCCTTATGTTTTCAGTCTCTTGAGCACCCCCTGCCATGAGGCAAGAGAACTGCCTGCCTCACCTCGAACTTGTTCTCTGCCGTTTATAATCGCTCATTACACGAAACACGTTACACAAACACAGTTGGTGACAAAAAGCTCTGTACATTATATACATAAGCCAAATTATTAGAAATAAGTTCACATATTACATTTGTTTAAACCATTTTATTGACGCCGTACAGCAACATGCTCTCTCCGCTTTGCAGCCAGCGCAGAGCCAGGGGTTGCGCAATCCAAGGTGAGGCAGAGCTCGCTGCTGCCTCACCGGCATCGCTTCCAAGCATTTGAATGGGAAAATAAGAAAATTCAGCGATTTTGAACAAATAAAAATCGAAATTGGTGAAGCTACATGAAAAATGAATATTTTTTAGTACAAACCACCGGATGAATATAACAATTTAAATTACTTTATGATTATATATTTTCTTTCTTTCCATGATGGCTGGTGAGGCACTGCCTCACCTGCCTCCCCTGACCGCACGTCACTGCTACCTACCCACCCAAGCACCCAAAACCTACCCACCCACCTACCTACCTACCTACCTACCTACCTACCTACCTACCTACCTACCTACCTACCTACCTACCTACCTACCTACCTACCTACCTACCTACCTACCTACCTACCTACCTACCTACCTACCTACCTACCTACCTACCTACCAAGGTTAAAGTCCAGGGACTCAACAACAGTAAGACAAATTATTTCCTCTGACTACCGATATCTCAGATAATAGACTTTAAAATCCTTATCTTAGTCCAGAAATCACTGAAGGACAGAGGTCCGAAATACATTACAGTGGATAAATGGCCTGCCTGCCTGCCTGCCTGCCTGCCTGCCTGCCTGCCTGCCTGCCTGCCTGCCTGCCTGCCTGCCTGCCTGCCTGCCTACCTACCTACCTACCTACCTACCTACCTACCTACCTACCTACCTACCTACCTACCTACCTACCCACCCAAGCACCCACCCACCCACCTACCTACCTACCTACCTACCTACCTGCTTTTCCTGATGTGTTTGCTTTCAAACCAAAGAGGTGGACGTTGGAGTGGATCAGGACTTCTCCATCACGACTCGAGGTACTGGAGGTCAGGGAAAACTGGATGTAAAGATCACCTCCGCATCACGTCGTCCAATCCCCAGCAAACTGGAATCTGGCACAGCCAATGAGGTTCACACTGTGAAGTACGTCCCCCCCGAGGAGGGACTGTACAGAGTGGACATCAGCTATGATGGAAACCCCGTCCCAGGAAGTCCGTTCACTGTGGAGGGTGTCATGCCCCCAGATCCTTCAAAGGTGAGGACCCATTTCGGTGTTTTCGCCTAAAATTCTGAGAACTTTCACGATAACACAACTAAAAACAATGTTGATTAAAACTAGAGTCTTATCTGTAGATATCCAAAAGGACAATATGGACCAATGATTAATATTAAATATGAGAATAAAGATATAAAATATTTACTTTACAAGCCTGAAGAAAAGTTTGTCCATAATGGATTCATTGTCATTTGTTCTAAATAAATGTCAGGATATAAATCCAAAATCTAAATGAAGTTGATTGTTTTAACTGACAAAGTTGAGTGGTTCCTCCAGGATATGGAGAAGACTTTTGTCAATGTCAATGTTGCCTCTGTTTACTCATTGATGCACATGTTGACCTGCAGGTCCGGGCCTACGGTCCTGGTCTTCAGGGTGGGTTAGTGGGCAAACCAGCTCCGTTTGCCATCGACACAAAGGGAGCTGGAACCGGTGGACTTGGCCTGACGGTGGAAGGTCCATGTGAGGCCAAGATCGAATGCCAGGACAATGGGGACGGATCCTGTTCTGTGTCCTATCTACCCACCGAACCCGGAGAATACGCCATCAACATCCTGTTTGCAGACCAGCATGTCCCTGGGTCGCCCTTCAAGGCCGTGGTCCAGTCCATGTTTGACCCCAGCAAGGTGATGGCCAGCGGCCCCGGCTTGGAGCGGGGAAAGGTGAACGAGACCGGGGCCTTTACGGTGGACTGCTCTAAGGCCGGTGAAGCTGAACTCACCATCGAGATAATCTCAGATAGTGGCTCCAAAGCTGAGGTCCATGTTCAGAACAACGGTGACGGGACCTATTCCATCACCTACACCCCTCCATGCCCAGGCATGTATACCATCACCATCAACTACGGAGGACACATGGTGCCAAAGTTCCCGGTCCGTCTGCAGGTGGATCCAGCTGTCGACACCAGCGGGGTGAAGGTGTTTGGACCGGGCGTGGAACCAAGAGGTGAATTGTTTTTTCCAATCTGTACCGACACTATAATCCATTTGGTTTATTCACCTGAATCTCTTAGAATAACACATTTATTATCTGGTTGGGATTAAACTCTTAAAATACTGAAAGTTTTTCCTCACTTTACCCTAAAAAACAAATTAAAAATAATAGATAATATACAGTAATCCCTAAGTCTTTTTATAACCATTTTGATAAGTATAACATTTTCAAATTCAAAGTCTTTGTTTGAATTAAATAGAAAGATTAAATTAAAATAGCATAATTAAACATTAATGATGATTTTTCAGTGACCAAACTCTGACTTAATGTATAAATCACATTATTAGGACTGTTTAAACATGTAAATTCATTAGAGCTCAAGCAGAAAATAAATCAAATAAAGTGTAGGGCCCTGCTGTAAAATGTACTCCATCTGATTTAAATGATGCAGTTCCCACCGTTAGTCACCTTTGTTATTTTAAAGTCTTTCTTTAATATTTACTGTTTAATGTGAAATGATCAAGGTGTTTTTATTGAACCAAATATGAACTTTTATGCCTTTTTCATAACCAGAGGGTTTGTTTTTCACCCTCTGCTGTTCTGAGTTCAGATTTTCCGATGTTGTCAAATATCCAGCAGGATCCAGTTTCAGCTCAGTGCTCAAGGCCAAGAAACAAACCTCACTGGGTCCATAGATTCTCTGCAGCACATTAAAAGTTCTCTGGCTCTTTATTTCAACTATGTTTAGAAAATATTTTAATGCTTGAATGTAGAAAGAAATCCCTTTAGAAGACAGATGAGCCGTCATCACATGAAAGATTAGAGGATGAAGGAGAATTTGATTGTTCTGTTTTTGGTCCCGTTTGGTTCTGTTCATGGTCCAGTTTGGTTCTGTTCATGGTCCAGTTTGGTTCTGTTTTTGGTCCAGTTTTGTTCTCTTCACAGTCCAGTTTGGTTCTGTTCATGATCCAGTTTATTTCTGTTCATGGTGCAGTTTAGTTCTGTTCACGGTACAGTTTTGTTAGATTCACAGTCCAGTTTGGTTCTGTTCATGATCCAGTTTTGTTCTGTTCATGGTCCAGTTTTGTTCTGTTCATTGTCCAGTTTGGTTCTGTTAATGATCCAGTTTTGTTCTGTTCATGGTCCAGTTTTGTTCTGTTCATTGTCCAGTTTTGTTCTGGTCATGGTCCAGTTTTGTTCTGTTCATTGTCCAGTTTTGTTCTGGTCATGGTCCAGTTTTGTTCTGGTCATTGTCCAGTTTTGTTCTGGTCATGGTCCAGTTTTGCTCTCTTCACAGTCCAGTTTGGTACTGTTCATGGTCCAGTTTAGTTCTGTTCACGGTTAAGTTTTGTTATCTTCACAGTCCAGTTTGGTTCTGTTCATGGTTCAGTTTAGTTCTGTTCACGGTCCAGTTTTGTTATCTTCACAGTCCAGTTTGGTTCTGTTCATGGTTCAGTTTAGTTATGTTCACGGTCCAGTTTTGTTATCTTCACAGTCCAGTTTGGTTCTGTTCATGGTCCAGTTTAGTTCTGTTAATGGTCCAGTTTTGTTCTGGTCATGGTCCAGTTTTGTTCTGTTCATTGTCCAGTTTTGTTCTGGTCATGGTCCAGTTTTGTTCTCTTCACAGTCCAGTTTGGTACTGTTCATGGTCCAGTTTAGTTCTGTTCACGGTCCAGTTTTGTTATCTTCACAGTCCAGTTTGGTTCTGTTCATGATGCAGTTTTGTTCTGTTCATGGTCCAGTTTTGTTCTGTTCATTGTCCATTTTTTTCTGTTCATGGTGTAGTTTATTTCTGTTCATGGTACACCTTAGTTCTGTTTACAGTCCAGTTTGGTTCTGTTCATGATCCAGTTTGGTTCTTTTCATGGTCCAGTTTATTTCTGTTAATGGTCCAGTGAGGTTCTGTTCGTGGTCCAGTCTAGTTCTATGCAGATCACAACAGGTCTGGTTCTGTTCATGGTTGAGTGAGGCTGGCTTTGTTCTGTTCCTGCTCTGATGCGACTCTCGTGGTTTAGGATGTTCTGGTGTGGTTCTGTTTATCTTAGAATATTCTGGTGTGAGGTGATTCTGGTCATGTTCTCTATTGTTCTCATGTTGTTTTGGTGTAGATTGCTGGTTGTCTTGTGGCTGGTTCTACGGCTGTTCTGTACTTACTATGGCTCTTCTGTGGTTGTTACAGTTGTTTTGTGGCTGCTATTGATCATCTGCGGTTGCTAAGTTTCTTCTGTGGTTGCTACGTTTCCTCTGTGGTTCCTATGCTTCTTCTGTGGTTGCAATGGTTCTTTCGTGGTTGCTATGGTTCTTCTGTTGCTGCTGTAGTTCTTCTGTGTTTGCTATTGTTCTTCTCTGATTGCTACGGTTCTTATGTGGCTGCTACAGTTCTTCTGTGGTTTCTACAGTTCTTTTGTTGTTACAATGTTTTTTCTGTGCTTGCTACAGTTCTTCTATTGTTGCTATGGTTCTACTGTGGCTGCTACAGTTCTTCTTTGGTTGCTACGGTTCTTCTATTGTTGCTAAGGTTCTACTGTGGCTGCTACAGTTCTTCTGTGGTTGCTACGGTTCTTCTATTGTTGCTAAGGTTTTTCTGTGGCTGCTACAGTTCTTCTGTGGTTGCTACGGTTCTTCTATTGTTGCTATGGTTCTACTGTGGCTGCTACAGTTCTTCTGTGGTTGCTACGGTTCTTCTATTGTTGCTAAGGTTCTACTGTGGCTGCTACAGTTCTTCTGTGGTTGCTACGGTTCTTCTATTGTTGCTAAGGTTTTTCTGTGGCTGCTACAGTTCTTCTGTGGTTGCTACGGTTCTTCTATTGTTGCTAAGGTTTTTCTGTGGCTGCTACAGTTCTTCTGTGGTTGTTATGGCTCTTCTATTGTTGCTATGGGTCTTCTGTGGCTGCTACAGTTCTTCTGTGGTTGCTATAGTTATTCTGCGGCAGGCCAAAGTTCAGATGGAAATACAGATGTCTTAAAGGGCTTTGATGTCGTCCTACCTAACTTGGTTTGTCTTCCTTCTCCAGGCGTCCTGAGGGAGGTACCGACCCATTTCATGGTTGATACCCGGGCTCACTTTAAGAGTGGAGGCAGCCACATCAAAGTAAGAATCTCCAACCCATCCGGAATCAACACAGACGCCCAGGTCTCTGATAAAGCAGACGGGACCTACAGAGTGGAGTACACACCTCTAGAAGATGGTGAGTGTTGAGTTCAGTTGAGTTCTGAGGGACTCCTGAATGTGAAATTGTTTTAGCCACAGTGCTTCAGGCTGGAGAGGATCTGCTGCTGTTTTATGGGGTTTTTTTTCCACATCAACACTTCATTAATGTAAAGTTAAGAGCTTTGAGGCTTTCATAAAACCTGTTTTCCCTCTGCAGCCATAAAGGAGAGGACCAGGGACATGTAGCCTTCACACCTCCATCTTGAAACCTCGGAGTGTTTACATTAATCATCCATGTGTGAAACCAGTTTGAATCAGGCCAGCGAGGAGCAGCAGAGTGAAAACAGTTGGCTGCTTGTATTAATAGCTACAGACGCTCTGCGTGTTTTCCACTGATAGTAACAAGCTGGACCCAGTGCATTGTGGGAAATACTTGGGGTGTATTTCCAGTTAGAGAAAAACAGTTTTCTAGTGTCAAACCCTGAAGTCTTGTGACATAAAGAATACTGTCCATTTTCATTTTAAAATCCAAGGCACTGGAATTAGAGCAGAGAAATCAGTAAATATCTGATTCATATCACTGCAGACTTAATTTAGAATCTACTTATTCATCTAAAGGTGATTCTTGATTCATTGTAGTCCAGATTAAACTGAGATAAACTGCAAGAGAATAAAACTGAGGCTGAAATTAAAGCTTTAAGAAGGAAGGTTGTATTATGGGCTGTGAATCTTGGAGGCGGTGTTGGTTTGTTAATGGCTAACAGTCTCCATGATGCCCCTGTGTGGGATTGCAGACCTTCTTAGCATCTTCATCATTCCTTTCTGTCTCTCCTGAGGTTTAAAGTTGACTCTTAACAGATTTCCATGCATCTTCCATGATTATTGCCCTTTGAGGCGGGTCTCTGTTATTCTGCACATACTCTGTATAGTGGTTTGTGCTCCTCTGTGGTGTAAACCAATCTTTATATATATAAAACTTAAGCTTTATAGCATCTACTCTCATTCAGCTGGTTCAGACTGGCAGAGATGAGATCATTTCACTTTTTTACTTTAGATAGAAGCACCAGTTATCCCAGTTTGGTCTGGGCGAAGGCTGCGTGATAAACTAGTCTGGATTAAGGCTCTAATTTAAACCCTTTCTGTGAAACTGGACCCAGTTGATGTTCATAATGGGACATGAGCTCTAATTTAAGCAGGAGCTGATGTGACTCCAAAAAAAAACAAAAAAACATTGAAGACGTTTCGCTTCCCATCCAGGAAGCTTTTTAAATTCAGGAATAGCATTGAGTTCAAGGCTTTACACAGTAGCCCATCAAAACCTTGTTTTTGTTTTGAAACAAATTAAAACAGATGGTCCACCCCTTTGGAATGGGGTCGATTGGCTTATTTTGTTAGCCATCAATGCCCCATACCTGTTTATGTCTTTCTTTTGTTGGCCTGGCTAAATATGCAAGGTCCTCTGTTCCCCTGTAAAGGGATTGGGGTTGCAATGATAGCGGGAATGGATTAACTTAATTGCCACGTTGTAGGTTTTTGAAAGCTGAAACCTGAGTCCACCCCCTCAGTTCAAGGTTGGTTTTTCTTTCTTGACATAGATGGCTTCCTTCACACCCCTCTAAAACACCTATTTTCTTTATCCAAAATGTAAACATTCTGGTCCTCAAAAGAATGTCCTTTGCCCAAAAGGTGTAGATGTACCGCCTAGTCTCGTCTGGAGGGGGTCACTCTTCTGTGTTGGGCCATGCGTCTGTGGAGAGATTGTTTGGTTTCTCCAATATAAAAATCAAAGCATTACTCACTGCATTGAACTGCATACTCCACTCCGCTCATATTTGGTCTGGGGGTTTTGTCCTTAGGATGCACTAGTCTCTGTTTAAGGGTCTTGTTCAGTTTGAAATGTACTGGGATTTTGTGTTTGGAGAAAATGTTTGGAGCTGATGTGACATTGACCTCAGCCATGGTGTAAAGTCAGAAGAAGGTCGAAACTGTTCCAGTTGGATTTATGATTTCAGGAGATATGTATGGGTTCATGGACCCACACCTGAATAGATGTTTACCAGGTGTGTGGGAGGAGGAATGACAAGGTCGTCCCTGCTGGCAGATTCTGTGGTTCAGACCATCCTGGTTCAAACCGGCATTTGATTACGTCACAGCAATGTCATTCGTGATGCCTTCACTGACCAATTGGTTTCTGACATTCAGCTAAAACTTATGGTACCTTAACAGGTTTTCTCTCTGTGTCCAGGTTTGCACTTGATTGAAGTTCTCTTAGATGACGTCTCAGTCCCAAAGAGTCCCTTAAGGGTCTCGGTTACCGAGGGTTGTGATCCCAGCCGAGTCCGTGCCTTCGGCCCTGGTTTAGAGGAAGGGCTTGTCAACAAATCGAACAGCTTCACTGTTGAAACCAGGTAACCTAAGTCTACTTGTGTCCTGTGTGAAACCTTCCAGGACTCTCAGGAGCTGGACTGTTTTGGACAGATATGCATTTGTTCCATATTAGGGGTGCAGGCACCGGAGGGCTCGGGCTGGCCATTGAAGGTCCATCAGAGGCAAAGATGTCCTGTCAGGATAACAAAGATGGCAGCTGCAGTGTGGAGTACATCCCATTCACTCCTGGAGAATATGACGTGAACATCTCCTTTGGAGGCCTTCCTATTCCAGGTGAGGATCCACCCTTCAGTGCTAGAACTTGTTGAGGAAGGATTGTCTACAGACCGGACCCTCTGGTTCTCTTGCAGGTAGCCCATTCCGTGTCCCAGTCCGACAGCTGGTTGATCCCAGTAAAGTGAGGTGTTCTGGTCCTGGTCTTGGAGGAGGAGTCCGAGCTCATGTTCCTCAGACCTTCACTGTAGACAGCAGCAAGGCGGGAGTGGCTCCACTGGAGGTCCAGCTCTACGGACCAACAGGTGAGAAGACATCTGAAACACTTAGGGTTAACGTCCAGGACGTGTCTCCTGTGGACCTTCACAGACAAGCAGTTCAATCAGGTTCAGTTTGGATTTTTATGCAATAGAGACTCCATGTCTGACTAGAGAAGTAATACTTTGAATTGTTGACATGGTCCAGTAGTTTTCCTGTTAGGGTTTAGCTTTAGTCCAGGACCAGATAAAGATCATGCCAGGAACTCAGAACTTAGCCCGTGTGGATGGCATTTGTAGGGTCCTACTTAAGCCAGGCATACATTTTGCGATATTTTCAATCGTTGCACACAGCTACAGCTCACACTGTATGAAGAAACCGCAGGATTTAAAAGTTCACAGCTCATGATGTTTGTTCTCACACTGTACGACCAGACGCTCTGACGCGATCTACCTGCTCACACTGCAAGTCTATAAACCACGTCGGACTCAGCTCCGCATTGAGATGGCGCTACTCAGACTCGAGTGGAAGACGAGTGGAAGAGGAATATGAAGCTCACTAGAGTGAAACGCGCTGCCTTGGCAATTTGTGCAATTTTGCTCTGAAAGCCCTAAAAAGAAAAGGCGACAACGTATTTGGACAGAGACATGGCTGAGTATGCGTAGCTACTACGGTCTGTCAACTTTACAAAAAGAACTCCATTTCACTCGAACCCCGCCATGCTTCTGTGTTTCCGTCCTTCATCCTTGTTTAAACACTGAGCGATTTGCCCACGACCACCTTACGACAGCAGACTGAGTTTCAAACATGTTCAATTTTCTCCCGACCTTACCATTCCTGATCGGGAGGAGGTCCTGATTGGCTGATCGACCCTCGTTACCCCCTGTATACTAAATGAAGCACGTTCAGGCTGAAAGGGCAAAAAATCTTACAGTGTATGCCTGGCTTTAGGTCTTAAAGACCTAAGTAGTATCCATCTTAAGAACCCCCAAGGATTGCATTGATCTTCAGGAGGGGTGCACCTTAGCTTGAAGCATGAATCTTTAGTACAGTGATCTTGAGAGTCCAGAAAGGTGCCTTTGAAATACAATGTATTATTATTTATTATTAAGCACCAGTCTGTGGAACATAGCTGGAAGAATCGGTCTAGATCAGGACAGCATGATGGTCAGCTACCCACTGAAACAGGTTAATCTCAAAGCCCAATGCAACCGGTCAGCTCTATCACACCATCTGTTCCATAAGCGGCCTTCTGGACCCATCGGCTGACTTTCCGAGCGACGTGTGGTTCCAGCTGACATGTGGAACATCTTCTGGTTTGTCCTCAGGTGTAGCCGAGCCGGTCATTGTCAAGGACAACGGAGATGGCTCTCACACGGTGAACTACACTCCGGCCAGCGACGGTCCTTACATGGTGTGTGTGAAATACGCAGATCAGGAGGTCCCTCGAAGGTTGGTCCTGAATAGATTCCACTTCCAGAACCGGACCTCCTGTTCAGATGTAACCTACCAAACCATCTCCTCTCAGCCCCTTTAAGATCAAAACTTTACCGGCCCATGATGCCAGTAAAGTCAGAGCCAGCGGTCCTGGTCTGAACGCCTCCGGGGTCCCAGCTAGCCTGCCGGTGGAGTTCACCATCGATGCTAGGGATGCTGGTGAAGGACTCCTCACTGTCCAGATCCTGGTGAGTCAGAAAAGTGTGGCTACTAAAACATCTAAAGCCTGTTCCTCATGGTGGGAGCACTGATCTCTATTTATTTACTGGATTAATTATCCAGTAAATGTTGGTAGTACGTGGTTGAAGTGAAGCCACCGGCCTCCATATGTACTCCCTAGTTAGACCGGTTGCAATTTAAACGATACGTTCTCTATAGCATCGAACAATGATGACGCTCTCATTTTAAGGGGGACTTAAGACTTTTAAAATAAAGATAAATTCATCACCTTGACACACACTGGCTGTTTCATAGTATCAGTAGATTACCGTAATCTATGGTAAAAAAAAAAGCACATCACATTGCATAGTCATTATGTAGTCAATTAAGTCTACAAATCATGTAATATAACATATTATACAAATCAATCACAATAACATTAATGTGTTAATGGAGCATAATAATACAGATGTGCAAAAAGTGCTAAATTGATTATTTACATGTAATATACATATATTTATTACCTTGTTATGGTAATTACATCTTACATACACTATATTGCCAAAAGTATTTGCTCACCTGCCTTGACTCACATATGAGCTTAAGTGACATCCCGTTCCTAATCCATAGGGTTCAATATGACGTCGGTCCACCCTTTGCAGCTAGAACAGCTTCAACTCTTCTGGGAAGGCTGTCCACAAGGTTTAGGAGTGTGTTTATGGGAATTTTTGACCATTCTTCCAGAAGCGCATTTGTGAGGTCGCACACTGATGTTGGACGAGAAGGCCTGGCTCTCAGTCTCCGCTCTAATTCATCCCAAAGGTGTTCTATCGGGTTGAGGTCAGGACTCTGTGCAGGCCAGTCAAGTTCATCCACACCAGACTCTGTCATCCATGTCTTTATGGACCTTGCTTTGTGCACTGGTGCACAGTCATGTTGGAAGAGGAAGGGGCCAGCTCCAAACTGTTCCCACAAAGTTGGGAGCATGGAATTGTCCAAAATGTCTTGGTATGCTGAAGCATTCAGAGTTCCTTTCACTGGAACTAAGGGGCCAAGCCCAGCTCCTGAAAAACAACCCCACACCATAATCCCCCCTCCACCAAACTTTACACTTGGCACAATGCAGTCAGACAAGTACCGTTCTCCTGGCAACCGCCAAACCCAGACCCGTCCATCAGATTGCCAGATGGAGAAGCGCGATTCGTCACTCCAGAGAACGCGTCTCCACTGCTCTAGAGTCCAGTGGCGGCGTGCTTTACACCACCGCATCCGACGCTTTGCATTGCACTTGGTGATGTATGGCTTGGATGCAGCTGCTCGACCATGGAAACCCATTCCATGAAGCTCTCTGCGCACTGTTCTTGAGCTAATCTGAAGGCCACATGAAGTTTGGAGGTCTGTAGTGATTGACTCTGCAGAAAGTTGGCGACCTCTTCGCACTATGCGCGTCAGCATCCGCTGACCCCGCTCCGTCAGTTTACGTGGCCTACCACTTCGTGGCTGAGTTGCTGTCGTTCCCAAACACTTCCATTTTCTTATAATACAGCTGACAGTTGACTGTGGAATATTTAGGAGCGAGGAAATTTCACGACTGGATTTGTTGCACAGGTGGCATCCTATCACAGTTCCACGCTGGAATTCACTGAGCTCCTGAGAGCGACCCATTCTTTCACAAATGTTTGTAAAAACAGTCTGCATGCCTAGGTGCTTGAATTTATACACCTGTGGCCATGGAAGTGATTGGAACACCTGATTCCAATAATTTGGATGGGTGAGCAAATACTTTTGGCAATATAGTGTATCATTTTAAGATTTTAGATAAAGACTGAATTACAAGCATGTCTGTTAATGCTATAGTATTTTTCTATTTGTGCATGCATGATGCCATACACCTTTATGCTGTGTCTGTGCATCAGCCTTTAAATCTGACAAATTTACAATAACTCCACAGAGCTTCAGTTTCTACACTAACAAAATAACATAAATTGGTAAAATAACAGGCAACATCAAGTTCATTTTCTGCTTTTTACTCTTATGCTACGTTCACACCTAAAGCAGCAGAGGCAACAAAAGCACCTAGTTTACATGCAAAGTTAATAGTTGACACGCATCAAAGCGTGTCAGGGCGTGTCAGAGCGCCTCCAGAGCATCTTAGCAGAACTAAACATGTAGAAGCATCAAAAATAAAGCAGCACGAGCGTTTTTGCTGCTCCTGCTGCGTGCGTTCTGAAGGTAGGCTAAGTTACAACGACAATCTGATCATTTGAAAAAAACTATACATATAAGTATGTATGCACACACTGACACTGACAGCCATCAAAGTGCTTGTTTGTGCAGCCAAATGCTGCACAGGAAGGCATTTTTACTGTACATCTCCGTGGGAGTTAGGAGTACCAGAATGCCGGGTGGTGGCTTATTTTTTTTTCAGGACTTTTTCAGCAATCCATTGAATGAATAGAGATCCGTGGGAGGGAGCTGCAGAGATGGAACCAAACGCTGTAATGAGCGTAATGAGAGTTAAGTGATCCAGCTCACTGAAGTGTCGCCTTACCCATCTTCTGCTGTCTGTATTTGAATCCTAATCCCGGCCCGACCCGGCGGCTGGTTTGATCCCGCTGCAGGATCCGGACGGGTGCAGGCGAGAGGCCTCGCTGTTTGTGGAGGACTGGGGCAGGAGGGTGTGGCAGACTCATATAGTAAAGAAAACCATCCCCTTCAATATTCTGAAGAGAGGCTGCGTAAGCCCCGCCCTCCCTCACATCATCTCATGTCCACCCTCACCCTTACCCTCCTCCTCCCCCGCTCCATCAAACAGACCTTCATAACAGAGATGATTATTTAGATCAGTAGCTAGCAGCTGCAACCCAGACTGACACAGCTCATTGGCTCCGGAGGGATTTACCGTATTAACAGGAGAAGCGGCGCAAGTGAAATTAGACACTGCTCTCAGACAACATGCGGTAATTTATAAATTTTTTAAATCAGGTTGTGTCCGGATTGGGACCATGGTCCGCAAATCTGGGACCTCTGGTATAAAGAAAGGAAATCAACGCTATTTCTTACATTTTGAATTGAAAAAGCTTCCCAAATGAGAAGCGAAACGTCTTCAAACTTGGAAACAAAGTCCAGTGGGTTGTTTTTTATCTTATGTTCGAATGACTATGACCTGGATGACTGAGAATCTTCACCAGAATTAAAGGTGTAACGATGGCCTAGTCAAAGTCCAGACCTCATTCTGATCGGGTGGGTTCTGTTTCAATAGAATGAACAGAGAAATGGGTCGGAGGCTGGATTTCCCATTCGGTTCTGTTTCTTGAAGCTTAGAGCTGGAGGAGACGTGTGTTGTTGGCAGACTCCATGAACTGCTTTCCTCCTCAGACTTAGTGAACATGTTCGAGATGATCCAGACAGATGTTCTACCACATCACAGCTGTCAGTTCAGGGAACCGGCTCACCCCTCCTCCCCTCTGTGGTCTATGTGTGGACTGACTCCATCCATTGTGGGTTGAGCTAACACTAACCCTGGTTCCTGCATCTCAGACCATCAGCAGCCAATCAGGCTTCAGTCTCTGTGGTCATGTGACCTTAGTTTGTGTTAAAGGGTTAAATACGCCGGGTCAGTTCTGTGGTACTTATGAGGAGGTCGCTTCAGGGTTCCCTAAAGGAAAATTCTTCAGCAGTGAGGATGGCTATAGACCCGCCTCCCTGACAGTCTGGCCCTTTCTGATTGGTCACCCAGTTCATCAAATTACTACAGGGCAGACCTGAGAAACTTTTCACACCATGTTTATTATTGTTCACTATTTAGAAGAAGTTTGGCATCCGTTTGCATTCACCTACCTTTATTTTGACACACCAAATCAGCAAACAGAGCCCAGATATTCTGGTCTCAGAGGTTTTTTAGGGAGAAAAGACCATCATGGAGACAAGAAACCCCAGCAGACAGGTCAGAGAAAACATTTTGGTTCAGTTTGAAGCAGATTCAGGTTCTAAAAACCTCCTAGAGCTCTGCTCCTTCCATCATCTGAATGTCAAGAGAGGATGAAGAATTACCAAGGCATGGATGTCCAGAAGGACCATGGTAGCTGCAGATGCATAGCTCAGGTGGGAGGATCTGTCCACAGCTGAGATTTTAGTGGTGGACTCTATAGATCTGAGCTTCATGGTGAGGAGAGAAGAAAGCCAGAAGTTCACTTTGTCACAATCCATGTGGGAGATGGTGTAATCTGATCAAATCAGAGCAGAATAACACCTATGAATGGAGGAAAAACTAACACTGTTCATCACCATCCCTTCGATTGGACATGGTGGAGGCAGCGTCATGCTGAGATAAAGAAAATCGGCTCAGAAACGATGGACCTGAGCCATCCTGGAGGTTCACCTTCCAGCAGAACCAGCCTGACCATCCAGCCAGAGACACAATGGATGGGTTAGAGGAGAGCAAATCCGTGGGTTAGAGTGGCCTAGTCAAAGTCTAGACAGATTCCAGCCACGCATATGTGGCAATGTGATGTTCTTTGTCCAGTCTGAAGGAGATGAACATAACCTTCATTCTGTACAAACCTCTAAAGTTCCTGCAGCCAAAGGTGGTTCTAAAACATGCTGATTCAGGAGGGGTAATAAGCAAACGCACACTAAACTTTTCAGGTCTTCTATTATTTCTATTTTCCATCAATAAAAACTAAGATATAATCCACTCCAATGGAGGAAAGTCTCAGCCAATCAGATTACCTGGTGACTGATGGTCAGAGATCAGTGAAGAACGCTGCTGGAAACATTTCAGACCACTAACTTCCTGTCCATGTGGCACTAGGACCCAGAGGGAAAACCCAAGAAAGCCAGCATCCGGGACAACAGGGACGGGACGTACACCGTGTCCTACGTCCCAGACATCACTGGACGTTACACCATCACCATCAAGTACGGAGGAGACGAGATCCCATACTCCCCCTACAGGATCCACGCTGTGCCCACCGGGGATGCCAGCAAGTGTCTGGTCACAGGTTAGGCTCCGCCCACTGGACCTTAACTAACCAATTATATTAGAGAGTGACTCAGCCTCACGGACTGTTTTGTTTCCCTCCAGTTTCCATCGGAGGACACGGCCTGGGTGAGTATCATGGAGTTGGTGGAACAGGAGCGGAGATGCTCCACGTTCTGCTGCAGTTTATCTTTTCTGATGCTTCACCCCTTCATCGTCACATGGTCGATGAAGGGGTGACACATGGAATCTGGGGCCCCATTAAAAGGCATTCATATTAGGACCTCAACTCCACCTAACCTAAAATTTACATTGTCAATGTAATTTTTATTGTAATATTTCCACAAAGGAAAATTAACAGAACATGAAAAAGTTAAATATACATTTACATCCAATCAAAAGAATAAAAGCTTATTTAAAACAAAAAACACAACCGTATCTGTGTACACGTGAATAGAAAATAGGTTTAGGATTGTGAAAATATATTCCTATTAGGTTTCACTATAACTTTATTAAAGGACAGATTATTATGCTGGTTCTGAGAGCTTATTTTTCAGTAATCTCGACGTGTAATGACAAAACATGTATTTTTTATGTGAATGCTTCAGGAGAAAGAGGAGAGAGAGTGTACGGACGTTTTTACCACACTGCTGCTTATTTACACCTCTGAATTGAAAAGAAAACACATAAAACAGACCCATTATACAGATACAGACATTCTAATAGAAAAGATTATTTGTTCTAGGTTGTGTCCCTCTCTTCTTGTCCCTTTTCTTCTTGTTTTCCTCTCTATGTTTTGTACTCAGCTGACTTTTCATGTTGTCTCTAAAGGAATGAAAGACTTTTTCCAAGCACTAAGCTCACTTAGCTGATTGCTCCTTCCTGTGTTTCCAAAAAGTAAATAACCCAGTCCTTCTTTTCACTGTAGACAAGCCATGATCTGCTTCTCTGTTCTCCATTTTTCATTTGGATGAAATAATAGCTGCATGAATCATGACAGCAGACAAGATAGAGGAGAGCAGGAGGCGGGGTTACCAATCTACTTGCTCTGGAGAGCAGAGTTCGCTGCTTTTAGATGTTGTTGCCAAAGTCTGCAGTAGCAGAAAAAAAGTCGCTAGATTTGACGCTAGGCGCTTTTTTGAAATAAAAGTATTAGAGAGGTCGTAAAAGTCACTAAATATAGCGACAAAAGCGCTAAGTTAGCAACACTGCTCTTCACATAGTTTGTTTTCAAATGGTTTGCTGCTGTCTGTTTGGACCTTTCTGAACATGAGCAGCAAATGGAGTGATCCAATATGGTGGACACTGAAGGGTTAATATTATAGGCGTTCTGATGGTATTTTAGCGAAAGGATCTTTATCAAAAACGTAATTAATGTGCACAAATAAGGGGTTAGCTGTATTTACCATACATGTAAACTGAGTTTTATGGGGCCCCCGGGAACAAGAAAAAAAGGAAATCTAAATAAGTATTTTTTTACTTAAGATAAGTGCATTTTTTCTTGAATTGAGTTGGTAAGTGAGACACTTTGCCATTTTACAATTCACATTAAAATTTTAAAATAAATCTTATTTCAAGTACATGTTATCTAATTATTTTGTTTTAAGAATAAAATCATCATTCCATTGGCAGACCTTCTTATTCTCCTACTCAAATTGAAGGTAAATACACTCAATTAAAGACTTTTTTACTTATTTTTAGATTGTTTTTGCAGTGTATGTAGAAATCACAGGAGGCATGTTTTTTTTTAAATAAAACCCTTTTTGTAGTAGATGCATTACTGAAGTATTACATTGCAAAAATTATCTAAAAAGTAGTAAAAAATGTCTTAAAATAAGTGTATTTATCCATAATTTAAGTAGGTAAATACGACGATCCACCAAATGAATAAGTATTCTGACTCTTAAAAATAGATAATTAGATATTATGCACTTGAAATGAAACACTTTCCTTTGGCAAAGTGTCTCACTGTCCAGCTCAGTTCAAGAAAAAATGCTCTTATTTTAAGAAAAACTGACTTACTTAGATTTCCATTTTTTGCAGTGTAGAAAAAAAAGAATAATTTCTATAATGTCTAAAAACACATTCGTATGTTGGTGCCCACATGAGATTCATGAAAAGAAAACAGGATTTTATGAGAACTTTCAATAAAAGGAAAACTAAAATAAAAAACTTCTGACCTCAGAAAAGAATACAGCGGAATTTATTGATAGACTCAAGAATGATCTCACTTTGTTGACGTGAAGCTCTGAGCTTCAACGTGAAAAACCTAAACAGTTTCCACTAGGATGGTCAGTATCAACACCAACATGCTGCTCCTTCGCCAGGTTCAGGTCTTGGCCCGACTATCCAGATCGGAGAAGAGACGGTCATCACAGTGGATGCAAAGGCTGCAGGCAAAGGTAAAGTCACCTGTAAGGTGTCGACGCCGGACGGGGCGGAGCTGGATGTGGACGTGGTGGAAAATGCAGACGGAACATTTGATATTTACTACACGGCTCCGGAGCCCGGCCAGTACATCATCACTATCCGCTTCGGAGGGGAAAACATTCCCAACAGCCCCTTCCGTATTGTGGTGAGTAAACGCTCCATTTGGATGTGCTTTGTTTAATTCTTGATCTTGTTAGTTTGGGTCGGGTTTAGTCCAGCCTGGTATACTATTAGTTTGGTGTAGGTCTAGTCTTGTCTAGTGTTGGTTTGGCTCTCGCCAATGTGAGATTGGCGAGATTTTTGACACACCAAATTTTCCCCAATTTTTCTCTCCACTGTGGCTTCAAGCCACAGTGGAGAGAAAAAACTCCCTTTTAGCAGGAAGAAACCTCCAGCAGAACCAGGCTCAGTGTGAGCGGCCATCTGCTGAGGCCGACTGGGGTTCAAGGAGACAGAAGCAGAGATAGAAAAAGCAGCTGTAAAAGGCGGCCCCGTCCAGGAAACACACAGCCAGGCAGACAAGCTCCGAGCCAGCTCCCATGTCAGAGGATGAAGAGAGCACATCCATTTAGTCACAGTCAGAGAAACAGGACTACATTGAAAAACAGGCCGATCTCCAACATCTATAAACAAAGGTGTTGATGGCAGCAGCACAGCTGATATTTCTCTCCAGGATGGAGTCGCAGCCAAACAGGAACAGACCAGATGAAGCTACTATGAGAAAAAGCAGAGAGAGCAGAAAATTAGAGATCGAACTAACCAATTCAGCAGAGTGGGAGAATAGAGATAGAATGAAGCAGAATGATGAAAAAGGGGTCCCTATGTCCTCCAGCGGTCTAAGCCTATAGCAGCATAACTATAGAGATAGCTCAGGCTTAGTCTAGTTTAATGTTGAGTTTGGTATAGTCTAGTCTGGGTTTTGATTGTTTAAGCCTGGTTTAGTGTTTACTTGGGTTAATTGTTAGTTTTGGTTTATTCTTGGGTTGGTGTTTCCCTACAGCTAACTGTGTTGTTTGCTCTAACTATTGCATCTTGTTCTCGTCAGGCGAGTGAAACCGTCCCAATAGTGGAGGAACCATGTGACAAAGTTCAGTTGAAGCAGCCCTACTCACCCTATGTGGGCTTCTCCCCTCACTGGGTATCAGCTCTCTGTCTTTAGCTGCTGTATATCTGCTGCTGTCACCACATGGTCCATAACAGCACTAACCAATCATCTTCTGGCTGCTGCATGCATGGAAGCCTTTCGTTGGGCTGAAATAACTGAAGCTTACTTTTCTTCCAAATCATTTTCATCACCTCACCGTCTGATCCTGCTGGGAACAGGACCCAGCAGCAAAGCTGCTTAATACTGTCAGCAAACATTTCATTCAGTCTCTCATCTTCCTCTTTCCATTTCTGGACCGATTTCCAGAGCTCCCCCTATGTTATTATTGACATTCCTCCACTTTGCACTGGTTTAGGCAACAGATGATGCTGTCAGCTCTGCAGATCGGATGGAGCCGGTGTTACGTCCCTTCAGTCTGGTCATCCCCTTCACTATACAGAAAGGAGAGATCACAGGTACAACTCAAGAAAAAATCCTTGTTTATAATCTTCAGCCTAAGCTGTAAATGAGTCCTATTGCAAAGCTGATGTGGTGGAAATGTTTTTTTTTTCTCATGTTAAGGTTAACTTAGAATACAATTCAGTTTATTTCTATAGCGCCAATTCACAACACATATCATCTCAAGGCACTTTGCAGTTCACCAGATCATACATCAAATTGATTCAAGGTTTCTATTTAAGGAAAACCAGTTGATTGCATCGACTCATTGACTCAAATGCAATCCCTCACACTAAGCATGCTTGTAGCGACAGTGGAGAGGAAAAACTCCCTTTTAACAGGAAGAAACCTCCAGCAGAACCAGGCTCAGTGTGAGCGACCATCTGCAGAGGCCGACTGGGGTTCAAGGAGACAGAAGCAGACAAGCAAAGGAAGCAGAGATCAAAAGGCAACTGTAAAAGGCGTCCCCGTCCAGGAAACACACAGCCAGGAAGACTAGATCTATTTAGAATAGAATAGAAAATCCTTTTATTGTCCCACTATGGGCGAATTCTGGTGTTTACAGCAGCAAAATGATTATAGAAAAAAAATGGTCACACAAATGTGGACCTTAGAAAAATGTATAAGAATAACATAATAGTGAAGAGTAAAAATATAAACATTAAAATACGATACTGTAAAGTACAGCATTTTATTCCTCTATTGTAAAGCATATACTGGTGAAGAACTAGAATTTCCAGATGTTCTGGACTAGATGTTCTGGACTCTACAGAGAAGCAGTTACTTATGCCTCTCCCAAACAGTGACAAACAACATCCATGCAACCCATGCAATGTGATTAGAATGATATAAGATTCATTAAATGATGCATAATAGAGGAAGTGGAAACATGACTAGTTTAATCAGGTGAAACTGATTACATGTTTGCATTTATTGTTTGGTTTTCCTTTAATGTTGCTTTTACAGATTTTCTAGAAATGAGCTTCAAAGATATAATAATAATTAAGTAAAATTATGCAATCTTTAACCCCATTACCTTCAGACATTAAGATGCTTCTTTAAGCTTTAGTCTTGATTTCAGTTTACTTATTTTCTTGACTATAATGTATGACTAATAAAAAGACTTTCCCTGAGACTCATTTCATAAAACATCTCTGTTGCTGTAATAAGCTAGAAGCTCAGGTGGTGTTTGGTTTTCTTTAGGTGAGGTGCGAATGCCGTCGGGTCAAACAGCTTGTCCTAACATCGCTGACAACAAGGACGGGACGGTGACGGTAAAATACTCGCCGACTGAACGAGGACTGCACGAGATGGACATCAAATATGACGGGAACCACATCCCAGGTAACTGCTCTGTTCATTATAAACACAACATCATCTGCAAACATGATGAGTTCAGGGGGAATCTGACACTTCTGATGCTTCCATGCTGGATAATCCATGGTCCTAATGATCCTTGGTCTTTAGACCTTCTCAGGTCGGTTCAAATGTCAGCAGATCGGTCCCCTCCCTGTGTTTGCAGATCATCCAAAGGGAAGCAGAAGAGTTTAGATATCAATCTCAGCAGAGACATTTAAACATGGAGAATCAGGAGCTCTACTCCAAGCTCTTGTAGATAGCAGAGCTCTACACCACCTCTCTGAGGAAAGGTGGTTAAACGTGTCCACCCTGAGTCCTCTATCACTTCATCACACCAGAAAGAGTCAGTTTGTTTATGTCAGCACATGTAGACTACATGTAGCTTCCTGAGGCTCCTACTGGGACTTCTGTCCAAGCCGTTTTCTGGTCGATGTTTGGCTGCTAAGATCACTGCATGGCCCGATCTTTCACCAAATCAAAGGCTGTGTGTTTCTGCATCTTCAAGACCAAGTGAGGCTTCATTCTGGTCTCCTCCAAAGCTCCTTTATGTGCTCTGCAGGTCATGGATTGGAGGAGGTCAGGTTTGGGAGCTTCAGGCTTCGGGTTTTGTTGAGGTTGCTCCGAAGTAAGGGGAAGATGGAGCAGGACACGGCAGAGCCGATTTAAAAGGCTCCAAATCTTCATTGATTCTTAGTAATCCCCTTTAACTGTGTGTGTTTCAGGAAGCCCACTCCAGTTCTTTGTGGATGCTATCAACAGTGGTCATGTGACTGCGTACGGCCCTGGTCTGAGCCACGGCACGGTGGACAAACCCGCCACCTTCACCATCGTCACCAAAGATGCAGGAGAAGGTAACATTCTGACCGGACTGAATTCGAATTAATAATAAGGATAATCATAATAATAATTAAACTTTATTGATCTCACATTGGCGAAATTTTCCTCTGCATTTAACCCATGCGCTTGAGGAGCAGGGGGCTGCCATCTTGGGTCGCCCGGGGAGCAGTGTGGGGTTAAAGGTCTTCCTCAGAGACCTAGGGTGGCAGTCTGTGGGAGTGGGGCTCGAACTCAGAACCTCTGGATTCCAAGCTCTATGCCCTAACCACTACGCTGCCACTCCCAGACGATCAATTCCAAAGACTGCCAAAACCCGGGAGTTTCACCTGCTTTGTTTCAACAGCTGAAGGTGAAGTTTCACAGTGTTTCCTCTCTCTCTGCAGGGGGCTTGTCTCTGGCTGTTGAAGGTCCATCCAAGGCTGAGATCAGCTGCACTGACAACAAAGATGGGACTTGCACGGTGTCCTACCTGCCCACCGCACCAGGAGACTACAGCATCATCGTCAGATTTGATGATGAAAACATTTCTGGCAGCCCGTTCATGGCAAAGATCACCGGTATGGAAACTCCACCAAGATACAGTATCTCTGAAACAGACCTATCCTGTACTTGGACTTATTTATCAGCTGCGAGGATTTAAAGATTCTTCTTTCCCTAATCAAAACCATCCATCCATCCATCCATCCATCCATCCATCCATCCATCCATCCATCCATCCATCCATCCATCCATCCATCCATCCATCCTCCCTCTTCCGCTTACCTGGGGTTGGGTTGCGGGGGTAGCAGCTTCAGTAGGGAGGCCCAGACGTCCCTCTCCCCAGCCACTTGGACCAACTTCTCCGGGGGAATCCCAAGGCGCTCCCAGGCCAGCCAAGAAACATAGTCCCTCCAGTGTGGCCTTGGATCTCCCCCTGGGCCTCCTCCTGGTGGGACGTGCCTGGAACACCTCACCAAGGAGGCATCCAGGAGGCGTCCTAACAAGATGCACGAGCCACCTCAACTGGTTCCTCTCGACATGGAGGAGCAGAGGCTCTACTCTGAGTCCTCCCCGGATCTCTAAGCGAGAGCCCAGACATACTAGGAAACTCATTTCAGTCGCTTGTATCCGGGATCTCGTTCTTTCGGTTATGACCCAAAGCTCATGACCATAGATGAGGGTAGGAACGTAGATCGACAGGTAAATCGAGAGCTTTGCTTTTTGGCTCAGCTCTCTCTTCACCACAACAGACCGGTACAGCGCCCGCTTCACAGCAGACACCGCACCAATCTGTCTATTGATCTCCTACTCCATCATAAACAAGAACCCAAGATACTTAAACTCCTCCACTAGGGGCAGTACATCCTCCCCAACCCGGAGAAGGCATTCTACCGTTTTCCGCCTCAAGACCATTGTCTCGGATTTTAAAGCACTGCTCCTCATCCCAGCCGCTTCACACTCGGCTGCGAAACGCTCCAGTGAGAGCTGTAGATCATTTAATGAAGCCAATAGAACCACATCATCTGCGAATAACAGAGACGCAATCCTAAAGCCACCAAACAAATCATGTAGCACAAAGCCTGATTAAAGCTTGCATGTCTCCTGTCCAGGTGATGACTCTATGAGGACCTCCCAGCTCAACGTTGGGACTGCATCAGACGTTTCCCTAAAGATCACAGAGACGGACCTGGGCAGTCTGATGGCCACCATCAGAGCTCCGTCAGGTCATGAAGAACCGTGTCTTCTAAAGAGGCTCCCCAACAGACACATTGGTATGTTTTGATTTGGACTTTCTCTCCATGTATGTTAGGATTATTAAAGTATTTCTGATTCTGATTCTGATGGATAATTATCAAATATATAAAATGACAATCATGGGTACTTGTTCATGGCATTAAAATTATTTCTAAGAGCATTAAAAAGCATTAAATTAGAGTTACTCATTCCTGTATAAACCCTGTAGAAATACGTCTTCCATCCTCACTCCAGAGGAAATCCCGCCCCCCAATGTGAAGACAATATCCGTTTCTCAATTCATAAGGACGCGAGTACAGACTCGTGTCCTCACCAAGTATGTTCTTAAGAAGAACACAGCAAAGTGTGGACTCTAGGAGAACGGGTGCACGCAGCATAAAAATGGGTCCATTAATAATGAACACAGTCAGATAAAAACAAATCAAATGAACATTTCACCAGATAAAACAAAAAACTCGCCATCAGAGTCAGTGGTCCTTCACACACGGCTATGCAGAGAGAGGGCTGCTGCAGCTGCTGTAAGCCTCGGAGGTCCGCTGGTTTCCCCCGGTCCTCTCAACTTTGGAAATGTTTTTTAAATTATGCACTAATCAGTAAATGGGAAATATAGTGAAGCTTCAAGTATAATGCTCTCATCTCAAGTGATCTTGAAAGTTATTTTTATTGAACAACGGCAACTGAAAAGAGAACTTTTAACTTAATACTCTGAGCTCTGTGAGCGCTCCATTGAAAGCTGCTGGTGCTGCAGTGCATGCTGGGACAGCTGTCAATCTCAAGAACAGACAAGTCTGCTCTGATGCTTGCTGGGTAAAGAGGGAGGGGCGGGAACAACATCCAAGGTCTTTCTCTGTCTTCTTGTTCTTGTGAAATGAAACAGTACTAGGGCTGAGGATGATGGCGTTTCATGAGTATCTGAGAACGCACAAGTTCACAGATTGAGAAACAGCCAATGTGATCTGCAAAAAAAAAGGATTTTGAAAAGAATAGAATTCATAGAGCTCTTTTTGAAAACCGGAAATTTGAAATAGAAAATCTGTTAAAGCAATTTTGAAAAAATATGTATATTAAATAATGTGAGAAAACAATAAAGTTATTCTTGAAAACTTTTTTTAAATGGAAAGTTTAAAAGGTATGTGAAGGATTTTTGTGAATCGTAGAAAAAACCTGCACATACCCAACCCTGCACCCGCTCTAGAGAGGGAATGCCTATTAAACTTATACAAAAGCGTGCACGAGCCCATTTCTCCTCGTGCACGCTCTGTTTAAAAGTTGCTGTTTGCGTCGGTCATACAAGCTCACATTCCAAAAGATTTGCTATTTTTTCCACCATGTCAGACTCACCACCAGTGAGTGAAAATGACTTTTACCAACACTTTATTTACACAATTCAAACAATAGAATCAATTATTGATGTAAAACAAGTGTCAGTTAAAAAGCACTATTAATGGTAAAACGTGTGTCAGCTAAGTAAATTGTAAAATTTTGTTAAAACCCCATAGCTGAATAAAATCCGGATTTTATACAGGATTTTATTCATTGAGAGTAAAATAATAAAGTCAATACTTACAACATTGCTATATGCCTCAGCACACTGATAACTTCATCATAGGTAGCCATCTTTGTTGTAACTGTGCCCGGTGGCATGTACACTCGAACAATGCAGTAAAATTCTAACCAACCAATGGGGAGAACGTGACCCTCTAAGACAACCCCTCCTCATTTGCATAATGATGCAGAAAAGCAGACAGAAATGTTAAAAAGACAGGCAGAAGTAAATAGCATTGAAGAAATAAAGAGGGTAAAAAAACAAGGGTAGACTAAAACAGACAAAAATATTATAACAAGCACATAAATAAATACTTAGAAAAATAAGTAATTAATAAATAAAGTTGAAGATTATAAAGGACAATAAATGAATAACGTAATTATTGCAAAGACAAATAAATAAAGAAGCTAATTAAAAGATTAATTTGGTGAATGGGGGATTAATTGTATGCTTATTTATTTATTGAGTATTTATTTATTTCTGTATTTACTTTTAAATATGGTAGATCTGGTCCTCCATATATGTGTGGCTGTGTAAGTGTGGAACTCCAGCCTTATTCTAGCTTTAAAGGGCTCCTAGAATGATTCTATAGGGTATCTGGTCCTTAATGTCTCTAATAGGGTGTGTAACATTGGCTGGGCTGAAAATGGCATATTTGCTGTTCTATGAGCCCTAATGCAAGCCTGGTTAAAAGCCCTAGTATGAAACGACAGGTTTTCTTCCTTTTATGGTATGATAATGAATATTTAGATGAGCTGTGCGCTGATTGGTTGGTTTACAACGAGCAAAGCTGCTGAGCAAAGACGCATCATAGCAACAAGCACTCACTCACTGAAACATCAAATTGTTGATATGGTAGGGTGACCAGACGTCCTCTTTTTCCCGGACATGTCCTACTTTTCATACCTGGGGGGGGGTCAATTATTATTTTTTTTGATTGGTCGACTACAGTGCAGCAGAACTGAGCCGTCCGTTCCGGGGCTGGTCCGGGAGCCCCAGCGGACGAGGGCAGGGAGCCAGCGGGGGACGGAGCGACCAAACCCGACCTGGGGGCGGTAGCCTGGACACAGGCTCCCCCATGCTTCCCCCCGCCTGCATTACCGGCTCCCAGCCCCCCTCCTCCGGCTGAGGATTGGCGGCTCATGGCTCTCTGCCGAGGTCCGGTCCAGTCAGCGGCCCAGCAGTCGACACTTCATACCCGCAGTGGGCTGATCTGTATGTCAATTTGGGGGTGTTACAAAAGTACAGGCCAAAACCAAATAAGGCAACATCCCAGATTTACGTCCACTTGGGGCTTTGTTTGAATTCGCCCGTTTTAAGGTGGAAGTTTAGAATAGTGAGATTTGCAGAGAAAGGAGGTGTTGATGGGGTTTGGACTTCTCTGTACGTCCATTTCACTCACTGAACTATCGTTATTCATCTATGCCAATGGAAACTCGGTTTTGCATTCTATGACCCCTTTGCACTTTCACAGAGTGAAAATGGGGGACGAGCACGTAGGACGGACTCGCGTAATGATATCACCAGAATGATTGACAGTTAGGAGGACCACTTCTTTTAATGATCCACCCAGAAAAACACCATCCTCCACTATACCTTCAAATCTTTCTTTTATTATTTCTAATTACAAAATGTGTTCTCTATTTGCAACAATATTGGAACAAAATTCACTCCATACAAACCAAATCCCCTTCTGTGTCTGGTTTTAGGGGGATATCTCTGACAGAAACCTTTTACAGGTGTTTCACCATGTGACCAGGACATAAATGGTTGATGTCTGATCATCTATTGTTGCAGGAATCTCCTTCACTCCAAAGGAAGTTGGTGAACATGTTGTGAGTGTGAAGAAAAGTGGGACACATGTGACCAACAGTCCCTTTAAGATCATGGTGGGTCAGTCTGAGATTGGAGATGCCAGCAGAGTGAAGGTTTACGGTCAGGGGCTGGTGGAGGGGCACACCTTTGAGGTTGCCGAGTTCATCGTGGACACCAGGAATGCAGGTGAAGACCCAAACCACCTATGCAGAGTCAGATCCAGGGTCTCAGTCTCACCCTTTTGTTTTGTGTCTGGAAGGTTACGGTGGTCTGGGTCTGTCCATCGAGGGCCCCAGCAAAGTGGACATTAACTGTGAGGATGTGGAGGATGGGACCTGTAAGGTGACCTACTGCCCCACTGAACCTGGAAACTACATCATAAACATCAAGTTTGCTGACCAACATGTTCCAGGTACAAACCGGTTCCTTCTCCTCAGGACTGCTGGAATTAGATTAGTTGGTTTAACCAAAAGATTGGTTGAACACATAACTTCCAGCCCGGTTACAACCAAAAAAAATTTTTATGTTTGAATAAAAATGACCCTTGCACACCTTTGCCCAATTTGCACAAACACTTTCAATATCTGCTTGAGCTTATTTAAATAAAATGGCAGAAAAACTATGAACCTTAAATTAGACATTTTACACACAATTTTTTTTTTTAAAGATTTTATTATACAGACCAACTATTAACAATTTCAAAGGAACTTAAATTGGTTAAAAAAAAAAAAAAAACAAGAAAAACAATTGGAAAAAATCACAGATTAAGCTTCCTTTTTTGGAATCTCTTAGCTGCTGCATTTGGTCAAAGCAACAGTGCCCCCTGCAGGCAGACACAAAAATTAAATGTTACAGAATTGATGTCTCTATTTGTTTTAATCTCTTTTCTGTAATGTTTGCAAACAGGAAGTCCATTTACCGTCAAAATATTCGGCGAAGGCCGGATGAAGGAGAGCATCACCAGGAAGCGCCAGGCCCCATCCATTGCCACAGTCGGCAGCACCTGCGACCTCAACCTGAAGATACCAGGTGAGAAGGGTCTTCAGGTTCTCCTTCGCTGTTCTTCCTCCATTCGTCCTGTTTCCTGCTTCCTCATCTGCATCTGGTTCCTCCTGATCCTCTCCTTCTCTTCCTACCTGTTTGCGTCTCCTCCTGGTCGTAGGAAACTGGTTTCAGATGGTTTCAGCTCAGGAACGTCTGACCCGGACGTTCACCCGCAGCAGCCACACCTACACCCGGACCGAGCGGACCGAGATCAGCAAAACCCGAGCCGGGGAGACCAAAAGAGAAGTCCGGGTGGAGGAGAGCACCCAGGTCGGAGGAGATCCCTTCAGGGATGTGTTTGGAGATTTTCTGGGACGAGAGAGTCTGAGCGGTTTCAGTGGGATGCCGGCGGGAAGCCGACCGCCACTGCAGGACGGTGTGTGTTCTGGAAGCTTCTCACCCTTTCTGTTGCTGCTGGGGCTCAGCTGTTAAATTATCCACTGTCAGAAATCTGTTCTCATGTTTTTATTTAACTTAAAGCATCACTTTGTGACCTTTGACCTCAGTGTCAGCTTAATTTCAGATCCATCCATTGATCCTTCAGCTCAGTGCTGTAACGAACAATTGGCCCGTAAGCAACATTATCTGGGTGTTCTTTTGGTCGCAATCTTTAATCACTGGACTGGTAGTAGCAGCAACGTCCACCTCTGCCTCTTCGGTTCTTTCTTTTCTGGAATCCGCTTAAGTATCTCTTTTTGGTATCCATTGTCGCTAACACATTGTACGTAATGGTTATGGTTTAATCTACGTTCTGCTTTTAGTCTAACGTGATGTGACGTCTTGCACGCTGCACACACGTTACATACGTAATATGTTCAGTCAGTTCATCATAACTCATAACCCATAATTCCAAGTTGTAGTGTAAAAAATAAAAGACTCAAATACATAATTCTTTTAAAATCTTTATTGTGGTTTGAAACATATTATATGAGTGTATTTTTTACCAACCGTCTAATGAACTAAACACAGTTATTAACGTAGTAATCAAAAGTACCACTGTCTGCTTTGCTATTGGTGTCGTGTTTAAACGTCTCACCATCATGCTGAAACCTGCCATGTGTTGCGGTATAAATACGGTCCGATCAGTCACTTCAGAATTTTTCGCACCATTACATCTGCAAAGAAACGTCCTAGTCTACAATTGCGTAGGGGACCCACCAGGTGTCAGTGATGGGGCCCCTAAGAGGTCGTGGGCCCGTGGTCGGGGTTTCGTTAAGCATCTCCCTGAAATGAGTTTTTGGAACTTGGGATGTCTGTAACATGTGGTTGTGTGCGGTCACCAATGGTTCCATTGAAGGTGAGCTGTCACTATTTTTCCATGAGTGATGTGTGATCATATACTACTGAGAATTACATAATTGTATCTTCGTGGACTATTTATGGAACTGTCGCCATATCCTGAACCTTTATCACGTGTTGTACCTAATATCAGAAATACCAGCAGATGAGTCTGAATCATGCAGACTGGTACTAGCAGTAGACATGCTGATCTGTCATGCTGTTGGCGTAAGTTCGGTAAAGCCTGACGTTATCCAATGAAAAGCATCGTTAACAATTAAACGCAAATATGAGATGTCTGTGTTGCTTATTATTCTTAGAGTGAACTTCACTCTCGTTCACGTTCATTACTTTAAAACTGATCCGTTCACTAAAAAATATGAATATATTCAGTGAACGGCGTTCATTGGACACATTCATGCACAACAATGCTGGTACCAGAACCAGAAACTCACTGGTTTGTCTTTAAACAAAGCAGTGTGGACCACTGATTTCTATTTATTCACTGGATTACTGATTGCCTGTTGGTAGTTCGGGGTGGAGTGAAGCCACCGGCCGCCATATTGGTACTCCCTAGTTAGACCGGTCGCAATGTAAACAATCTGTGCGCTATAGCATTGAACAACGATGATGTTCTCATTTTCAAGGGGACTTAAGACTTTTAAAATAAAGATAAATTCATTACTTTGACAATCCTACTGTTTCATAGCATAAGTAGATTACTTTAACTTTTGGTAAAAAATAGGCACATCACATTGAATAGTCATTATGAAGTCTATAAATCAAGTAATATAACATATTATACAAATCCATCACATTAAAATGAATGTGTTAATGGAGCATAATAATACAGGTGTGCCAAAGGTGCTAAATAGATGTAGTTTCAAAAAAACAAAGGGGACCAAGCACTGAGCACTGAGGGACTCCTGCCTGTTGGCTCGGCAGCACAAAAACAAAAAAAAACGTTCCAAGAACTTCATCAAAGGTTCCCCAAACCTGCAACCAAGCAGCAGAAGATTTCTAGTTTGTCTCTGAGTTTCTCTGATTAGTAAACCGATCTTTTATCTCCTCCCTCCCTCAGGTGAGGCCGGTAACCAGGAGATGACGGCTCAGGTGACGAGTCCCGGAGGGAAGACGGAGGACGCAGAGATCATCAAAGGGGAGGACAGCACCTACAGTGTCCGCTTTGTCCCCCAGGAAATGGGACCTCACACTGTCAATGTTAAATACCGGGGCCAACATGTGCCGGGGAGCCCCTTCCAGTTTACTGTGGGGCCCCTGGGTGAGGGAGGGGCCCATAAGGTGCGAGCAGGAGGAACCGGGCTGGACCGTGGAGTGGCAGGGCTACCCGGTAGGCAGGACAGACATTTTTACCTTTTCTCTCTTATCTTGAAAATCACTTTTCTGGAATCTAAAGGTCCCTTTTCTAACTTTCTGGCTGCTTTCTGACGGTCACCGAGGATTTTTCTGGGACGCTTCAGGTTTATTTTCTGGAACCTGCAAGACGCAGTCCTAAGACTCACAGTGCCCTCACCTTCCAGTTTACCAACTGAACCTAAAGTGTTTTAGGTTCCCCCTCGAGATTTATTCAGATCGTAACGTTGGTAACTCAAAATGCGTCATTAGGGGAAAGAGATAAGAAAAAATTTCAAAAACATGAGAGGCAACCCAATTATAACAAATACAGACAATAAAGGAGAAGTCAGGTCAGCAAGGAATAACCAATGGATCTTTATTTGTACTTGTACTTGTAGTGTTAATCAGTAAAAAAATAAAAATTCATTGTGATCACTGAGTCTGGGAGCGGCCATTTTTGCCCAAATATAGTAACCCCTCCCTCCTGCCATCTTCCAGCAGTGACGTCACGGTGCGGTAAGCCTAGCGCCATTCTCCCCGCTTTACAAGCAAAATCAGTGGGAACTACTAGACACATTTGCAATCAACAACAATTATTGAAGATTTCCAGAGGACTTCACCATTGTAATTCACCAGAGCTATAGTGAAACTGACAATGCCCACGTGCATGGCAGCTGGATGCTGGAATACATCGGGTAAAAGTAAAAAAAATGAGTTATTCCACCTTTCTGATTCCTGATCCTCCACGGACGGGTTGGTCGTTAGATTGCCAACTTGAAGAGGGAGGATTTACCATCGAACTTCTGGCCAGAGAAAAAACCCGTAATATGTAGCCAACATTTGGAAGAAGAATGTTTTCAAGATGACTTGGATAATAGTGTGACAAAAACCAGATACAGCACTGGGACTTGATCAACAGTCGATACCGCACCGTGACGTCACAAACCAGTAGGTGGCAGTAGTATTCTTTGACAAACAGGGATGCCTCCAGTAAAGCACATTCACATGAATTTTACTCTTAATTAAAACACTTATTTATTAAACAGTATGTAATAATTTCATAATTAAACTACTTTCAGAAGTTTGAATTCTAAATATGGCCGGACTTCTCCTTTAAGAAAGGACCTGATGACACCGGCCAGTCCTACAAACTACCCCCCACCATCACGGTTGTGTAAAAATATAACTTGAGGGAAGTTCTGGAAAACTAGCCTCTAGGTTCCAGAAAGAAACCTGAAGTTATTAGAATGTGTCCTATAAGTTCTGGTGAACCTTAAGATCTGCTAAAGTATCCTGTGGATTCTGGTGAAGTGCGGACTGTACCATGTGTTGATATCTAGTGTTTCCCTGCAGCTGAGTTCAGTATTTGGACCAGAGAGGCTGGAGCTGGAGGTCTGTCGATTGCTGTGGAAGGACCCAGTAAAGCTGAGATCTCCTTTGAGGACCGGAAAGACGGTTCCTGTGGAGTCTCCTACGTGGTCCAGGAGCCTGGTAAGATCTAAACACAGATTTACCGTCTGTAGTTCAGCTGTGTCACAATCTGTTGTATGTTTTTAAATACATAATTTATGGTAGAAGCAGCTTAGAGAGAACAAATCCTTCAGGAATCATGCAAGAACACTGAATAAAGTTCTGTTTGAAACCTACAGGTGATTATGAGGTTTCCATCAAGTTTAACGATGAACACATCCCAGACTCTCCTTTCATTGTCCCTGTGGCTAGCCTGTCAGATGACGCCCGCCACCTCACCATCACCAGCCTTCAGGTGAGGAGATCCGAGTCCTCGTGGAAGCAGACGTCTATCTTCTCAGTCTGGATAGTAACATATTTTCTTTATTAGGAGATGGGGCTGAAGGTGGGTCAGGAGGCCTCCTTTGCTGTCCAGCTGAATGGAGCCAGAGGCCTCATAGATGCTAAGATCCACTCACCATTGGGGGCCACAGAGGAATGCTGCATCACTGAGCTGGACAGCGGTAAGACCTGACAGCTCCGAGCAGAACCCAGAGCACCAGGAAGAATAACTGGATTTCAGTCTGCCATAACTTCTCATAAACTTTCTTTGTTTTCCAGCAGATCGGCACGCCATCAGGTTCATCCCCAAGGAGAACGGCGTTCACTCTATAGACGTTCGCTTCAACGGCAGCCATGTACCCGGCAGTCCCTTCAAGATCCGAGTGGGAGAACCGGGGCAGGTTGGAGATCCAGGACTTGTGTCTGCCTTTGGACCAGGACTGGAAGGAGGAACCACAGGTACAAACAGCGTTCAGGTTTTCTGCTTTAACCATCAGGAGATTTAAAGACCATTTGATGATCCCATGTGTGTTTGTTCAGGCGTGGCGTCAGAGTTTATGGTCAACACCTGTAATGCCGGAGCTGGAGCTCTATCTGTGACCATCGATGGGCCATCAAAGGTGAAGATGGACTGCCAGGAGTGTCCTGAGGGCTACAAAGTCTCTTACACCCCTATGGCTCCAGGGAGCTACCTGATCTCCATCAAGTACGGAGGACCACAGCACATTGTAGGCAGCCCCTTCAAAGCCAAAGTGTCAGGTGGGTCAGTGTTCTGGGCTCAGAGGTGGTGCTGATCAGAAATTGGTTCAAAACGGTTCTCTTCTTGGAGGAACTCCCTGGTTCAGGGTATCACCGCCTCCTGGACTGGACAGAAGCCTGATGTTATACTTTCTGTTGCTTCAGACTGAAGATAATGGCGTTCCTCAGGGCATATCCACCCCATTACTGTGTTCTTCTATGTTACCACATTACCCCCAGAACACGGGTTCTGGAAAGCCACACTCTGAATAGGCAGAATAGAACTGCCAAACTCACCTGCTCTAACCTGCTGAATGTTTGTCAAATATGACCAGAGAGCTCCAGCTCTTCAAGATGCCATCATCTATCAAACTGGGAAAACAAAAGCAAACAACCACACAAACACTGCGAAGTAGGGCTGTATGATTTTGGAAAATGAATTGCTACTTAAGGACTGAACTTGCCCTACCCACTACTTGGTTTGGGACGGTGCTTGATGTGGTGGACCCTCCAAGGGGAACGCGCACATGGAGGGTTAGTGCTCAGGGTTAGTGTTTAGGGGCCGGTTTGGGATTGGGCAGTAGAAACTGGAGCTACTAACAGGAAGTAGGAACTGGAACCAGGAACAGGAAGTAGGAACTGAGGCTAGGAACAGAAGGTAGAAACTGGAGCTATGAACAGGAAGTAGGAACTGGAGCAATGAACAGGAAGTAAGAACTGGAGCCAGGAACAGGAAGTAGGAACTGAGGCTAGGAACAGAAGATAGGAACTAAAGCTATGAACAGGAAGTAGGTACTGGAGCTAGGAACAGGAAATAGAACTGAGGCAAGAAACAGAACATAGGAACTGGAGCTAAGAACAGGAAGTAGGAACTGAGGCTAGGAAAATGAGGTAGGAACTGGAGCTGTGAACAGGAAGTAGTAACTGGAAAAGCGAACCGGAAGTAGCAACTGAGGCTAGGCATAGGAAGTAGGAACTGGACCTATGAGTAGGAAGTAGGAACTGGAACGAAGAACCTGAAGTAGCAACTGAGGCTAGGAACAGGAAGTAGGAACTGCAGGTTTGAACAGGAAGTAGAAACTGGAACTGGGAACAGGAAGTAGGAACTGGAGCTATGAATAGGAATTAGGAACTGGAACGAAGAACCAAAACTAGGAACTGGAGCTAGGAAGAGGAAGTAGGAACTGGAAGAGGAACCAGAACTATGAACTGGAGCTAGGAATATGAAGTAGGAACTGGAAGAGGAACCAGAACTATGAACTGGAGCTAGGAAGAGGAAGTAGGAACTGGAGCCAGGAACAAGAAGTAGAAGTTTTAACAGGCAACAGGAGCTAGGAGATACAATTTGATGTATTTTTTTAAAAATATTGAAAGTCTGACCAACCTTTGAGAATAACAGATAGCATTAAAGTGACATGCTTATCGTCTCCCCCTAGTGGTCTGGAGCCCTTTTTTTATATGTAGCTAGTTTGCAGCTTTCCTTAACTTGTAGTTGTTTCTGCTACTTGAAGTATATTCCCTTTGCACATGTTTTTAAATGTGTGTTTAGAATCTATTTATTTTCTTTCTCCATTGCATTGCTTTGCCTTTACATGTTTGTGTATTAGTTTCATATTTGCAGCCTCTGGCAGCCGTAACATCACACCCCGCGCTGCTTTGCTTTTAGACTCAAAGTGTTTCCAGCATTAGAATGGATTAAATTCTTCTGCAGTAGGATCTCTGCCATCCTTCAGTGAAAAGCTTTTTCTCTCCCTCCAGGACCACGCCTGTCAGGAGGTCACAATCTCCATGAGACGTCTTCTGTTCTCGTGGAAACCGTCACCAAAACATCAGCGATGGGCGGGGCCTTCGCTTCCTTCCCCAAATTCTCCTCAGACGCCAGTAAAGTCATCTCCCGCGGCGCTGGTCTGTCTAAAGCCTTCATCGGTCAGAAGAACACCTTCACAGTGGACTGCAGCAAAGCAGGTGAGAAACGAGGTGAAGGAAGGAGTCTCCCGATGTTGCCTGGAAACCTCTGATCTTTTCTGTGTGCTGCAGGCACCAACATGTTGATGGTGGGCGTCCACGGGCCAAAGACACCCTGTGAGGAAGTCTATGTCAAACACATGGGCAACAGGATGTACAACGTGACGTACACGGTGAAGGAACAGGGCAGCTACATCCTCATCGTGAAGTGGGGGGATGAGAACATACCAGGAAGTCCTTTCCACGTCACTGTCCCCTAAACAAGCTCAGCTTCATCTCCACACGGTGACTCCTCATCTTCTACGATGCACTGAAGACTTTTCCTCACAGAGGAGGAAAGGTTCCTCATGTTTCTCCTGTCCTTACCTGTTCTCCATGGGATGTGACGGCCGTTGCTCCCCTCAAGTACTTCACTCAAACTGCTTGAACAGCTGCTATAGAGATGATCCAGGATGAGAAATCTTCCAACAGACGTTTCCACAAACTTTCGTTTGTTTTGCAGCAGGAACCTTCCTGATTAGGTCCATCTCTGCAGGGTTTGGACCTGATCAGGAACATTCTGTTGTAAGAATCTTAAAAGGTGAACATCTGAGGCCACATGGGGACGATTTTAAAGGCCTCGAAGCAGAAAATGTGAAGCTATTTTCTATATACTTCAGCTCAATGCAGATCTCTACATCTTCTCTGCATAACCATTGTTTGTATTCAGCAAATCTAGATGTTCTGGGTGCAGAAGACTTTGCAACCATCTTCTAACTGCTGAAGGAAGTCCAAGCAGCTGGAACTCCTCCTCCTTCATTGGGTCTGTGAGGAACATCAGGGGACGTTCTCCTCTATGAACATCACGTCCTGAGCTCTGCAGACGAAGAGTTTGGGATGTGACCTTCATCATCCGCACGTCTCTATCTTGATGGATTCCAGTCGGTGTCCTGAAGATAAAACAGATTTTCAGCAACAACTCCACGTCTTGTAGAACCTTCTGGATTTCACATGAGATGTTTGGATTCTGCTGCATCAAACTGTGACGTTTAATTTATTCCCCCTGATTGGCTGAAGGTAGAGGAGCCGCGTCTGATCTGTGATCCGCTCCCAGTCTGTGTTTTAATAAGACGCATCAGGAGGTTTTATGGAGATTTTTCAGAAACACACTATTAGAAATACTTTTTTTGTAGTTTTGTATGTATCCAAGCAAATGACTGAAAGCTTGAGTATGGCAAAATTGTGCAGGCATAATAAAACTGTCTTTGAGACATCCCTCAGTGTCGCTTCACTCTTTGAGACCTTAAAACGACATTAAGCTGCTTCCTCGCTGTCTCCTTCTTCATCTCCTCCTAAGCAAGCAGCAGTTACTTACCACCTCAGAAAAGCTGCAACCTTCCTGTCCTTGCACCAAAATGGGTGATAGGTTTCTAAGCATGCTGCCACCAGCGCAGAGCTGACTCAGCCTGGCAGCAGGTGGGTTTGAGTGAGAACGGTTTTATGTAGACTGGGGAGATTAGAATCTCCATCAATGCAGGGGTAACCAATTAAAAATCAGCGGTGTCCGAATAAAGAAAATAATCAACCTGTAAAGGTCCGGAGACATTTTTAATTATAATCTGTTACTTTAAACAGAATTTAACACTGAAATAAAATGAGGTGTTTATGCATCCATGTTACACAGTGAATATTTAAATAAGAAAATAGAAAATTTTTCCATTTTAAAATCTAAATCGTTTTTGAAGTAAAGAAAAAAAAATCTTTCAGTTTGGCATATAGACAATTGTCTCCCTTTTTTTTTTTTTTTATAAAATACCTGAACTGACCGTTTTTCTTTCTTTTTTCCGTCTTAATGTTGGCAGTGGGCTTTATGCTGCCCTGCAAGGCTTTAAACCTGGTTTGAATGGAGACTAAGCCATTCTAAAGCGCATATCAAGGAGCTCATTTTGAGCCTGGATCCATATTTATTGTTGATTCTGTTCATGGTGGAGAATCCTGCTTCACAGCAGCAGGATGAGCCAAACATCCTCTAAACGTTCAGGATCATCTTCGAGCACCATTTCACTTTTCTTTCACCAGTTCACCACAGTTCTTCCAGCAGTCCACACTTTCTCTGCTCTCTTTTTTTACCGTATTAACAGGTGAAGTGGCAAAAGTGAAATTAGACACTGTCATTGGACAACATGCGGTAATTTATAAATGTTTTAAATCAGGTTGGGTCCGGATTAGCCAGCAGGTGGGTCCATATCCAGACCACGGTCTGCTTATCTGGGACCTCTGTCCTACAGGAAGAACAACCAAAACTTGATCCAAGTAATTTTCTTCTATCGTCCTTCTCATGGTTTGGAATTTGTTGAGAAGAAAAGCTGAAAGTTTACATGAGTCCTTTGGGGTGTCTTGACAGAAGGCTTCTGACCCAGAAACCTTTGACTTGATGTCCCGTCTTGATGTCCCGTCTTGACTTGATGTCTCAAAGTGGAGACATCTGGAATGGTCCTAGAAGAGCTAGTGAACTTTTAGAATAATCAAACCGTAATCCAGAAATTATGAAAAATTCTCAGTCATGATGGCGTCGACACAGCTGCAGAGAAAGACTGGTGACCCTAATTCTGATTGGTTGGTCAGTCTGTGTGACTCCTTTCCCAGATGCAGAGGCGTCCATGGGCTCCGTTTGGACTCAAACAGAACCTACGATGGCACCAGGACGTTTTGCTCAGACTCAATAGGGATCTACCTTCCCAGCTCTGGTTCCTTTAAAGGAAAAGTCCAGTCACATTCAGAATACAAATATCTGAAATTAATTTAAATAAAATTCTTACATTCTGTTCAATAAATGATGTTTTTAATAAGAGTAATTTTCATCTGAATGTGCTTTGTCAAAGAACACTACTGCCACCTACTGGTTTGTGACGTCACGGAGCGGTATCGGCTGTTGATCAAGTCCCAGTGCTGTATCTGGTGTTTGTCACAACGCGCTATTATCCAAGTCATCTTGAAAACATTCTTCTTCCAAATGTTGGCTACATATTACGGGTTTTTTCTCTGGTCAGAAGTTCGATGGCAAATCCTCCCTCTTCAAGTTGGCAATCCATCGATGAACCCGTCCATGGAGGATCAGGAAACGTAAAGGGGGAATAACTTATTTTATTTCCATTTTACTCGATGTATTCCAACATCCAGCTGCCATGCACGTGGGCATTGTCAGTTTCACTATAGCTCTGGTGAATTACAATGGTGAAGACCATTGATTCAAGATTCTGTTCCCGTGGGAACAGAAGACCTCGCCTGTTCAGCCAGGCCAACAATTCCCTTTAATGACCCGCCTTTCAGAGACATAGACAGGTAAACTGCAAAAAAAAAAAAAAATCTAAACAAATGATTTTTTTTCTTGAAATAAGTGCATTTGTTCTTGAATTGAGGAAGTCATTGAAACAAGACAATTTACATTTAAAATAAGAAGAAAAGAACATTTTATTGCACTTATTTCAAGTGCATATTATCTAATTATCTTATTTTAAGAGTAAATATACTCATACCATTGGCAGATCATCTATTTTACCTACTCAAATGAAGGATAAATGCAGTTAATTTAAGAATTTTTTAATTATTTCTAGATCATTTTGCAGTGTATAGGGCATTGCTGGCTAACAAAAGAAGCCAAATGACCCCCATTCCAAAGGGGTGGACCCCTTCATCAGTTTCACTTTGCATGTTTTCTAAAGGCTTTGTTGGGCTACTGTATAAAACCTCGAACTCAACGCCATTTCTGACATTTTGAATTGGAAAAAGCTTCCTGGATGGGAAGCGAAACGTCTTCAAAACTGGAAACAAAGTTCAGTGGATTGTTTTCACTTTCTTAGAATCCAGGGAACATTTGCTGATGATCTGTTGAGATAAAGGACTGACTGATAAAGGACATCACCTCTGTCAGAAGCTCAATTGGAGAACCTGAACGTAGCTCCCAAACCACCAACCTCTGAGTGTTATGGTCGGGTCGGACCAGCAGGGGGCAGCAGAGACAAGTCAAACTGCAAAGAGACAGTTCAGGTTTGAGAAAATGGGACATGCTGCAATTTGAAGGAAGTCTGGAAACTTTCCAGCTACATTTGTTGGTAAATTCCTCCATCAGGCCATTAACTGATAAAATAAATGGAAAAAAAAACTAAACTCTAGGACCCCCCAAAAAACTGTCAGACTTCAAGGTTGAATTAATTTAGCAGCGGCTGTGCAGAAAGAGGTACTTGAAAGGAACCAATGAAAGGACTGCTGCACACACTCTGATCTCCACTATAGATCAATGAGGGAGAAGCTCATGGCACCTTTCATTATCAGAGGACCAGCAGGGGCGGTGCTAGATGGGGGGCCAGGGGTGGACAAGGGCACCCTTAGCCAATCATTGGCCACCCCTATCATATTTTCCCCTCTAATAAAGATGGTGGCAGCAGTAATACTCCCAAGTGCAATATTGAAAACATTTAAATTTTTCATATTTTAACAATTACTTGACAACAAAAATACTGTGGTTAGTTTTGCATATCAATATACTAACATTAAAGAGTTAAAATACAGAATTCATGCTGTTGACCTGCAAAAAACTGTGTTATATGGGGTAAAGACTGCAAGTCATCTAGGAGTCTTCGATGAAATCATAACTAACTATTTTAATAAAAATGTATTAAATAACCATTTTTGTAGATATAAGTAGCCTACTTGTAAATATCAATTTTATGAAGAATGATTATAATGATATTTTGTCATTATACTGAGATACTATCTCATTATAATGATTTAATTATGATTATAATTAGATAGTAACTCGAAATAATGAAATACTATCTCAGTATAATGAGATCATTTATTTATTTATTTATTTTAACAGAGTGGCGGATACGGGCTTCCATACAGAACGACGCATCTAACCAGTCCACCTTAAATCCGCGCGTATCTGCGTCACGTGACCATGTTCTTGGAAAGTTCCTGGAAACCTGCTCCGTTGTTGTTGTTTATGGAGCTCCGGACCATCGGCTGCTCCACTCGGTGCCAGGCTCACTGAGTCCTGGTTCGGCTGCAGCGGAGCTCCGTGACGGACGGTCGGTTCTGATCCAAAGATCCAGCTTCGCGGCCCGCTTCCCCTCACCCCTCCCGCCGTTTGTGATTCTAGGAAACAGCCGGAGCATAGCAGCGTCCGGACCTGCAGGAGTGGACCCGGTCCCGCGAACACGACGGCGGGTTCGTGGAGCAGGAATCGGAGCCGTTAACGTGCGGCTGGACTCCCCGGCTCGGTAGGTCCAGTTTAATCCCCACATGTCATGATCCGGAACCAGGAGCACGTCTCCTCAGGTGAGCAGAACCCGTTCCAGCTGCAGGATCTCACCTTCCATCCAGGTTCTCTCCCCAACCAGGAGCTTCCTGCAGAACTCCGCTTAGAATTCCTCTAATTTAACTTTCCCTCCTCGGCCCGAAGCTTCCAGCTGGATTCCCGAACCAACAATACATGCTGCTGTTTGGACCCGACCCACTCATTAATTCTGCTAATTAGAAAAGGGCAAAAATAAAACCCATTAGACACCAGACTGAACCAGCTTCAGATGAAGGGTTTATTATACAACAACTTGATATATATTTCTGAATTTGTTCCTATTTACAAACTGGATCATTCAGAGACACCTGCTGCACCTTTCCATTTATTCGGCTTTAAAGCTTGGCTCCTGTTTCCCTCAGAGCGGGAAATAATAGTCCTTGAATGATGTAATTCAAGTTCCTCCATTTCATAATTAACTGGATTTTAATTGATGCAAACCTGCAGGTTCTGCTTCTCTCTAACAGAACACAGGCCTGTTTCCACTGGGAGTGTTTGCTGCACTCCTCTGGGTATCTGTTCTCAGAAAATGTCCTGTCATTTTTTTAAACTTTGAGTTGCTACATGGGCGGATTTAGGAAATGTGGGGCCCTGGGCAGAGACAGGCAGGGGGCCCTCTGAATTGAGAAGACAACATATAGAACAAATCCATTATAGAGATAGAGAAATTTTAATAGAATAGACATACATTATTTGTCTGCTTTTTGTCCACAAGCGTAACTTTCTGAAGGACTGGTGTGAAAACGTCCCCACTAATAATTTCAGCTTTTTTTCCCCCTTTTTGCTCATTTTCTTTCACCAACAGGGTTCCCGCGGGTCCTTAAAAAGTCTTGAAAGGCATTGAATTCTTCAAAATAAAACTAAGGCCTTAATTGGTATTAAAATGTCTTAAATCAGTCTTTCTTAGGTCTTAATTTTTAA